ACAACTTTCATCGGTGAACAGTATTAATAAATGCCCCTGTCACATTGCCAGACTGACTCCAAACTAATTTCAACCCTGTCATGTATTGGCAATTCGGTTTAATGTAAATTCTTGTTCGGTCAATCAAGTCTAATGTCGGCGTTTATCGAAACCGTCATAGGTACAAGTTCACCGACATCGTGAATCAATGTCATGATTGGTTTTGTTGATGGTTTTATTATTCGCATATAAAGTATTATGAGCAATACAAAGTTACAAACATAATTATAAACCCACAAATTTTTTTTTGAAGACTAGTGGATTGCTCCAATTAGAGCCATTAATATACTCTGTTCTCGCTTGAGATCCATACAAAAAAACTATTTATTACAAAATTATAGATTGAAACCAATATAACACATATAAGTAAAACAAGATTATTACGAATATATATCTCTAGCCTAGTTGAATGAGGGGAAGAGGGGTAGATTCCCGACCAAGGGAAGCGTTTAAAGTCAAGAAACGAACGAAAGATAGCAACACTCTAATAAATATCTTATTATGGTCGCCCCCTCCCCTATAAACCAAAGCCATCAAAGTAAAACCATTACTGAAAGTATATGGATCATAGTAAGTTGAGATTTGTTGCCCCTCCTGTAGGCAAGGTCTGGATACGCCACTGGAATACCATGTGCATAATATCCGATTCCCCCTTCCCACCCAAGTGCATGTTACACATGTCTAAGACTGTCATCCCTAGGCCTCTTCCCTCCCAACTAATCTGCAAGCACATAGGCCTACTCTAATTTGAATTTTACCACAATGCCTAAAGCCTTGAGCAGAGCCTATATAATAATAATTCCGCTTTTAGCGCTTAATACATCTACGATGTCTCTAAGCGCTTTACAGATAACTATTAGCCCAGTCACTGGATTCAAAACTTGGCCGCACACAGTGTGTGCACAATCTCCACTCCCTGGGGAGCAGGCTCTGGCTGTATAGGAGCCACTGAGCCTGAAGTACAGACCTCTATTGTAATTCTCATATTGCAGATACTGTTACGCACAACGACTATTAAGGGTTTGTGTCTCCAAACTACCTCCCAATCGATATGGCCGAGGAGATGTCAATCCTCCTCTTGGTGTGACCGGGGCGCAGGGGCGGCTGGACACTCATCGACGTCGATGGAATTATTTTGACAAATCTAGGTCTCTGGTCCCAGTAGGTACGCCCTCTATGACAGGTCTCCATCCATCATTGTCCCTACTAATTTATGAGAACGTTGGTCAGCCTCTAATAATGTATAAGCAAATTAGTGGAAGGTTGGGGAGAGCTGTTGTAAACAAGAGGTGCAGGCCGGCAAATGTCTAGTTCCTCTACTTATAGCCCTCTCCTAAGTAATAACTTTCTTTGAGAGACATGGACACTGTTAAACTTTAGTTCTGGAACCCGTTTCACAAAGCCTTTTTTCAATGACAAATGACAAATACCAGTGACAAATCTGCTGATAACCAATCAGAAGCAAGAATTTTACTAGCTTATAACAAAAGCTGTCATTTTTCACTGATGATAAGTTTGTGAAATGGGGACCTGGTCATACGGTTACATTGTGAAACTGTCTGGAAGCGATTGGAAAATGGTCTATTATGTAGCACATAATGTATATCGGAGTTCGAATCATGAAATTTATTACATTGATCCAGTCTTGTGGACAGTCACAGTACAGTAAACAGAAATTGGTTTATGGGACTACACAAGCATGTGGAATAAAAATTTGGTTTTTACGCTTCAGCTATTTCTCGTCATATTTCGAATAGCTTTAAAGGTACTATGTCCCTTTTGCAGCCAACCTCAAATTCGGTAGAACTTTGCAGGAATTATGAATATGTCATGTATGTCCTATCTGTGAAATTTAAACGTTAGCAGTGTCCTCATATTCAAATTATGCAAGGAAACCCGTTTACTTGCTAGACTTTACTGTCAGACACTATTGAGTGACTGACTGGCGTTTTTCTTCTTTGGTAATAACATACATAAAAAGAGTTGTAAAGGGTACTAAGAGCATTTGTCTACATCAATAACCCACTTCTTGTGATGGCCAAGATTAAACTGATCGAATCTTTGTGCGGCATAAAACGTATGACCATTCGGTACAATTGTCTGAAAATCAAGACTAATACTTATTGGCTCTATAGCCCTAAAGTCGATTTGACAACTAATAGTCGTTATTTTCCCACTTGAAGACATTTTCAAGCCCCACCTTTTTTAGGGAAGTTCTAAATTAGTATTATCTTTGAAATGCAGTTGGAATTTAACTTTTTCATTTTGTTGGCCTGCAAATGGGACATAGTACCTTTAAAAGAGCAAATGAATCCTCTTCAGGGAAACGAATGGAAAAACTCACAACTTTTCACCTTTCTTCGAAGTCTATCTTTTCTTTGAAATGCTTAATAATAAAGATCTGAAGATCGAGGAATAATTATGACGATAGAGTTGATGACGATTTTTAAAGCTACATGGCGTTATTGGTTACAGGGCGTCGATCCGGGGGCGGGCAGACACCATGCAATATTAATTTTATACTTAATTAATTTCTATAAGGAGTGCAAACATCCAATTAAAGGATATTAACACAGACCCTACTCTTCGCACACCTGCGTCTCCCCACCCCCGCCCCATATAAGACGACTAATGAATTTATTCAGCCTGTACTGAAAATCCACTACGAAAAACGGTTAAAGCACCCGGCTCTACGTAAGCTAAACCGATTATGGTACTTAAAGCAATGACCAGAATCCATTGACCATCATGTAGATTAAAGTGTTGTCAAATTGAGGACATTGGCGCACCGGGGTTCTAACCCACAACCTTTGAACAAGAACAACCAGGATTTTGAATAAACTTGTCAATTCCAGTAGAATTATAATGTGACGAATGGGATAAGGATAATTTAACCATGATTAAACCAAGATATCGGCAGTAAGGCAGGTATATAGGGGCGGATCACTGGCGGATCCAAGACTGTCTGATAGTAATAGGGACAATTTGTTTTCTTCCGACAGAAATATTCCCAGGGATCTCCTGACTCGCTCGAGGCCCTCTCAGTGGGAAGGGGGGGGGGGGGGGGTGGTAACGAGAAAAATATAATGTAAGAGAGAGAGAGATATATATATATATAATAACGAGAGAGGGGTGAAGAGAGAGAGAGAGAGAGAGAGAGAGAGAGAGAGAGAGAGAGAGAGAAAGAGGGGGGTGGGGGGGGGGGGGGGGACGTCTCCAAAAATGTTTTCCCTGATAGTTATATTCCCGTGGAATCCCGCCGGCTCTCCCAAGATCCGGAAAGAGGGTAGGATGGAATATTTACCCACAAAAAGCTTGCTTTAGATCTTTCTCTTTTTCTTCCGATGATAAGTGGTTGTTTTTCCCGTCCTTCCTCGTTTCCCTATGTAAAAAGATAAATAATAAGCGAAGATGGTGAAGAATTCGGACTATGGCCCTGATGGTAACTTGGCCCTAATGGTAACTGCCGTGATGGCGGTGTTGACTGTGATAATGATGGTGATGAACTGATGATGATGATGATGATAATGATAATGATGATCATGATGGTGATGATGATGATGATGATGATGATGATGATGATCGTGATAATGATGGTGAAGATGATGATGAGGAGGAGGAGGAGGAGGAGGATGATGATGAGGAAGCCGGTCACAGATTACCAGGCCTGCAGATTACCATGCAACAGTTTAATTGATGCAAAGCAATAAATGAGAACATAGACCCCTGTTACGGGATGGAAGAAAGTAAGACTAACTACATATGAGATCGACGAACGAATTAGGCACGCTACGATATAGATGGATGTTGAAAATAAAAAGATGAATATAATCAAAACCGGCAAAGTGAATTAGGCAGAGTTCAGAAGATGGAAGGCGTGGTATATAATGACTAGGCAATAAAATGAGCAACATCAATCAATATTAATGTCGTAAATGACGTGATATGTAATGATTTTGTCACACATTGCGCCGAGGTATTTATAAACCCATCCATTTATGTCCTCTCGTGTATACGTGCCCTTTCGAGTTTATGGTTACTTCGCATTTAATGAGTATCACAAATTAACGGGCCACAGTTTTATCGAACACCACCGTCAAAACTGAAGCGAAAATGAAATACATGTCCCTCCGTACCATTTATTGCTCTATAATTGTTTTAATTTATCTAGACCTTTTCGACTCAAAGGTGTAATACCCTTCTATTATTACTATTAAGATGAATTGGCTTATTTCTTGTTGTGACTGTATCCATTATTCCCTCTCCTCATAAAAAAGCATATGCATCTATTTTGGCTAACACATTATGAATAATGTACCTATAAAAAAAAAAGGGGGGGGGGGGCAAACACCCGTCTTGCAATCGCACGAATATCAATTTCACAATCATTCGATTTTGAGAGCGAAAAAAACACAAATTAATATTATTTCATCACAAAAACATAATAGATACAATTTGAAAATTACATATTCGGGTATATGTGTTTTTCTCCCAAGTGTTTTTCCATTGGGGCAATACTAAAATTACATTTTTTATATTATGTCTACTTGGGCAATGAATCGAACATTGGTATTTTGTCTTGGGTGCAGTCCCCTGTCCCCGGCCAACCCCTTATTTATTTAAGCGATGCACAATGTGCAAAATGAAGAAATGTAGAAAATGAGTAAAAACGGAACCCCAGCCCCCAAATAACTCTTCTAGAACCGCATCTGACCCTTTGTACACCTGTGCCCAAAATGAAATGCAAATTAAAGGATACCTGAAAATGTGATAACAAGATTCAGGGTCATCCACTTTACTAGATCCGTATGTGTCGAACATTCATGAAAGTTTTGGGCAAACCAAGATCATAATCCCATGTAGACGTGTACCCCCCCCCCCCCCTTAAACAAAAAAAAAATAACCTGCTATTAACAGGTAAGGGTGCCAGCAACTTTTTAGATAATCAATTGCCTGAACCGTCAATGTATTATGACCCCTTATGACGACCTTCTCTATAATGCTGAAGACTGACCATAAATATGAGCAATCGAATATTCACAATACATAAATGATAAATTCTTAAAATTTCCGTGAAAAGTGGGAGGAAAAAAAAATCGTTCCAACTTTCAAAACACAAGACATGAAGAGCTCGACAGGCATCCATTGTTTTGCGCATGCGTAGTTGAAACCTTGTATGTAAATATTATACACAGCAAAATGGCCGTCACCGATGGGAATGCAGTAAAAGAGGAAACATTAACGGCTCTTACAAGAGAAGCAGAAAACCTTAAACAGAAACTATTAGAAGAAAGACACAAGCTGAACGATGTTGAAAGTAAGTATTGAAATTTAGTTCATGATTAATGCCTCGTTTTTGCAATATGAGCAGTCAAATTATGTTGAACATGTCTCGAATAGCAGAGCTAGTGATGTTTTGTGTAGTCCGATACGCGTGTATTTATGTGAGTTGAATTTGTGTAAACCCAATTGACACTCAGAAACTTTCTGATAAACTAGTCAGAATCTAATAGATTTGCTGATCAGTTCTATTTATTAATTAGTGTCGACCTACTAGCAGTTCTCCTGTTATCATATTGCAAATTGTTTAGTCTATGAACATTTAGAGTAGAGTCTCCGGTTTGCGGCATCGCCCGGTTTGCGGCCAGGGGTATTTGTTTTAAAAATAAAATGAATATGACTCGATAATAATCATTGAAACCTACCGTGGATTCCACGGTAAGTTCTGCTTTGCCGAAAACGTCCGTAGCAGGTGCTCCTGTCGGTACGGAGTATCCGTCAGCGATGTCGGAAATCTACGGCACCAGTCGCCGATGAAAATTTCAGCAGGTGCTAACTTTTAAGTTAAGAGATTGAGGCATGACTAGATCAATATTGTATTTGTAGCTCTATTTGTCCGATTGGAGGTGAAATTTGATGTTTTTGTGGAAGTATGATGGCTGTGGTCTGTCTCCTATCGCAGGTATTTTGATTGTGCCACCGCATGGCCAGTTGCATGGGGTGGCCGCAAACCGGCACGTAATTACGTGTTTTTTCTGGTTTGCGGCGGGGGGTGTTAATACACACATAACATGCGGGATCGTGTATGATGGTATGTGTGCTGATGTGTGTACCCGCTATGACCCGATAATTTCTAGTAGTACTTACCCCCGGATGGGATGATCCATTCGAGGAAAAGGTGAAATTGTTTAAAACTTGACAAATTTACCGTAGCAACAGATAAACATGAGAATTTGGGTTACCCGTAGTAATTTGGTACATGCTTTCATCGTGACGTAGCGCATAAAGCTTTGTGACGTACGCGTGCCGCAAACCGGTAATGCGTGCCCGCAAACCGGGGAACTCAAAGCATTTCGAAACGTGGTCAATGCTGACCACGCTGTGGGTCAGTTAGGTTATTTGTGACTTCTATTTAATAAGTAAGTATATGGACTCTTTATTGAGGGTATTGAAGTATTCTGTGAGTATTCCAATAAAAATAGAATCGGCAGTTCCTGCCGATCGGCCGCAGACCGGAGCCACTACTCTAATTGATTTAAATTCAATTCACAAACTTGACAAAGTCGAAGATGAAGGCGCCATCATTTTTCTTTTCTTTTTTTATTTTGGCAAAGATTCTCTTTCAGGTTCTTGTTACCGTAAAAGTCTTAAATTTCAATGAATGAAAATAATTCTGTATCGTATGCTTTGGATATTTCAGTAGGGGCGCTGATCAGAGAATGACTTCAATGAGGATCGTCCGCATAAACGAGGATATCCTCAAAAACGCGGACAAATCGCATCCTATTCTTTGATTCTTGATCTCGGACCAACGCCCCTACTGAATATCAGGGCATGCACCCTACTATAAATGCAAGTTGTAAGGCTTTTTTGTATGATCATGATTATGAAAGGAGGCGGTATGGCGCAATTAGATCATCCTCTGGCTCTCATGACTTTCGTCATGCGTGTGAGTTCAACTCCCTTGCAGAGCAGACAAAAGTGTAAAAATCTTGAAAATGATTGTCACAGCATTATGTGTATTCACAATTTCACGCTCCTTCCCACTCATAGGAGCATTAGTATACTCTTTTGTGTAGGAAACTATGTTGAGAAACCCTCTATTCATTCACAACAATTTCAAACAACACTACAAAACTGAAACTGAAATGACGTTGCCGAAATTTTTCTCTGCAATAATCCCATACCATTTGCTTGTGCAGTGGCCATCTTGGTAAAAAAATATATCACAGTTAGCAGTATACCTGACCCCTTCATTTTTTCTTTAATCAATACATGTATGAATTAATTTTGTTTGTTGACTTGATGAATATGTTAATGCGTCATTTCAAACTGAGTTTACCAAGGTCCTCCCAAAGCACCCTCTTTGGCTTAGCTCTAAACCCTTTTTTTTATTTTTATTTTTTTTACAGGGGTTCAAGTTTGATTTTTTTTTTTTTTTAGGGGGGGGGGGGATGCCCTGGACTTTTGATCCCATATTGTAAGGATATGGTATTAAAATTGATGACTCACTTGAATTGGACCCCTGTTCAATGTGGGCTAGCTTTAATCAACTTTGCCCTTTGACCTTCTACCCTGTTACAGTGTACACAGTAGCCCAGAGGTTGGAGCCTCTGCCTCCTCTGAACCTGAAACCAAGGCGTATCCTGAAGGGCCATCAAGGGAAGGTCCTATGCCTAGACTGGGCAAGAGACCAGCGGCACATGGTGACCTCTTCGCAGGATGGCAAGGTTATAGTTTGGGATGCCTTCACAACTAACAAGGTATGACCTTTGACCTTACATTGAGTCGGTCAACAGCAACTTACAATATTGAGAAGTACATGATATCAGGATGATGAACAATGTTTTCACCGTAAAGATATGCTGGTGCTTTAGGTTAGATTAACAAAATCAGACACCCCACAGGTAGAAATTATTGCTCAAAAAAACAAACCCGAATGTAGTCAGGATTTATATTTGCTGCACAGCAATACCTGAATGTATTGCTATTTCTCAAAACTTAAGACAGTACATAAACTTAATCATTTGAGTCTTCCATCTTGAAATTTAAAGAACAAGTTTTTAAGATATGTGCATGTAGCCTGAGCCAATCAGGCATATGATTTCATTGTAGTCTGATTGCTGTAAAAGTCTTCCTGACTTGTGCAGTATCATTACTCTCTAAAAGTTGTAAAGGTGATCCTACAGTTAGTCTGTGTTTTTATGAACCAACGAATTTGTACAGTAAATATATATGAAGGATTTGCCAGTTGGTAAAAATGCAGACAAGTCGATGAAGGTGATACTTGCTCTTGAAATGCATCAGTTCAGCGATGATTTCTGTCACTGCTAATTTCTATCCCTAACAGGAACATGCAATAACAATGCCAACGACTTGGGTGATGGCTTGTGCCTATGCACCTTCAGGCACCATGGTAGCATGTGGGTAAGTAATCAAAACAACATATTAATGTACTTCGTTCGTTCGTGTCTCCTTAGATCAAGATTACTGTAATCTTGATCTTCGGAGTAGTTGCTACAACCGGCCGTGTCAGACACGTTGCCCCGGGGTGCGAGATAGGACTCTTGTAGCGTGCCCCCATTTAAAACAATTATACAGTTACAGTTAACAATACATTCAATTAATAGTATGAAACTATTAAAATTACTCTCATGTTACAGGAAAAAATATTGCATATACATATATTATGAATCAATTGATTTGGTCGATCCAGTTCGATGGCACAAACACGGCACTACTGGACAGAGATCCTAATATTTACCGAGCTTGGTCTTGTTGCTCTGTTCGCCAGCAGTTTAAGGATATGGAATCCCGCGGCACATTACTCACAAGAGTTCTAACAAGCCAAGCTTATACAGAGCCTATAATAAGTAATGTCGTACATGTACCACCCACCCGATCGATCAAAAACTCATAACTCATAACTGAAAAAAAAAAGGAAAAAAAAGTAAAAAGAAAAGAACAAACACGAAATGGTAACCATCTAAAATTTCATAGTTGTGATAAATATCTATAAAGATTTATCAAGCACCAAAAATAAATAATATCATGTTCAAGAAAAGGATATATACACTTTGTATTCTTCTTTCGTGTCCTCAAATGCTCTGCCAGGCCTTGGCACACTGGAGAGCCTTCTCATTTGCTGCCACCAGGTCTTCCAGGCAGCATTGGTCGATTAGGAGTGGACATCTTAATAGGTGTGACATGGATTGCACGGATGTTCCACACTCGCAGTTGGTGTCTGTGTCGTCATGTCGTAATGTACTAATAAACAAGCATTGCTTTCTGCATCTCATAATGTTAGGAGCCAGAGCATTATAACACCGAGTGTCCATAGGAAATCTATTTATTCAGATGGTCATATCTCAGCCAATACTTAACCTATTCAATTGGTTTCGACATTTGGTCATTATTTGTTATGCTCTTTCGGAAAATGAAGTAAAAATATATTTTTGATGATGTCACACTTCACCACTCGTTTTCACCTTTTTGGCCCTATGATCCTATCTGGAATTCCATACTGTGCCCCCCCCCCCCCTCCTCCTACCCCAAACCCAACCCTAACCCTAACCCTAATTTCACACATATACACACAATACCATTCTTGGTTTGTTCCTACTGTATACCACTTAAAATATAATTCTACATTGAATTGTAATGTGGTAAAGTTGCTATTTCTTTGCCCCCACACCGGCTTCCTAAAATGACCCTAGATGAATGATACCATAGGGGGCAGCAATGCTAGGTTAATAATAACTGGCTTTTGGCTCTGTGGTATTTGAATTGCAGTGGTCTGGATAACAAGTGCTCGGTGTATCAACTCACCCAAGAGGAGGATCTATCAAGTAGCAAGAAGAGAGCTGTGGCCATGCATACCAGCTATGTCTCATGCTGTACCTTCATGAACTCTGACCAACAGGTGAGAATTGATATCATGGGGATTGGTTGACGGGTTGTGGTAATGCATAGCTGCCAACCATTCCTATTTTGGAGGAACGATTCCTATTTTTCTGCCTTCAAACACCCTATTTTCCTCTAGGTTTCTGAAAACATTGTTTTCAGCTTTCTCCTAACTTCCCATTATCTAACATCACTTGTAAACATTGATATTCAAATAATTGTAATTGTAATTAAAGCCTGGTATGATGCTAATTGTACATGTATCTTTGCTGGAAATGCATGAGATGGCATTGGAAGAAATTATGACTTTCCAATTATAACGAGTCACAAAAGATATCTTTAATGTCAAAAGCAATTCTCTGTTGAGAGAAAAGGAAAAGTAGTGCTTACAATCATTCACTATCTGCCCATTCAGTTGTGTAGTAGAAAACTTAATTAGTGTTACTGCTTTATATCATGATAAAATCTCATTACCTCTTGCAGATTTTGACAGGAAGTGGTGACAGTACCTGTGCATTGTGGGATGTGGAGAGCGGTCAGCTCCTGCAGAGTTTCCATGGTCACAATGCGGACGCAATGGCGCTTGACCTCTCGCCCTCGGAAGCTTGCAATACTTTTGTGTCAGGAGTAAGTAATTTGTTTTAATGTCAGTCGAGTAAAAACATGAAATGGTATTGTGTAAAATTATGATTCAATAATTTAAACAACATACTTCTCTATGTATTTTATAATTTGGGGGGAAAATTTGGGAAATGACTAAGACCCCGTTCTCACTCACTTTGAAAGTGGTCTTAGTTAGACCGCTCCAGACCGCTCCAGAGGAACGGGTCTTGAGGAAAGGTTTGCAAGCGTTCACACTCCGAGCAGTTTTTATGGCTCAAACCGCTCCACGAGTCAAAGTGGTCTTGTTGCTATGGCAGCTCAGGTAGGCGGGTCAATTTTTTCGCGCGCGGAATCCAAACCGTATGTACCGTACTACATGTTTCGCACCGAAGGTCACTAGCTCACTTCCGTTCAAAGTACGCTTTCCGTTCACATTGCACGTTAGAGCGCTCTGGAGCGCTCTTAATAAGACCCGCTCCTCAAGACCACCTCGGAAGGTGGACTTCTGGAGCGGTCCAGAAGTCTGCTTCCTGGACCACTTGAGCGTTCTCTAAAGCACAAAAGATCCCAGATATAAGTTCAAAGCTGTACACAGGTACACAAGTCTTGCTCCCTGCTCCCTTAATTCCATGGTACAGATTTGTCTCGAAATCAGATATTGTCAATTGTAACTCAAAGAATGTTAGTCAAACCATTATGATAATGTATTCTCAGGTCCTCTTGTATACATCATAGAAAAAGAAACATAACACTGATCATTTTAATGGATAAAAAAACTTGGGAACAAAGTGATCATTTATCACCTGTAGTAATATTTTTGTAAGCAATGATTGTAGAACCTTAAAATATTGACTGTAACATGCCATGTTTATCAGGGTTGTGACAAGCAGGCATTGGTATGTGACATGAGGACCGGGCAGTGAACTCTATGTTGCCCCTTGCAACACTGAGCATATTGATAGAAATACTTAAATGCGAAGTTCTCATTTATCCCATGTTGTCATATGTTCAGAAGCCATACTTGTATAAACTTTAAAGAGAAGTTCGAGTGTTGAGAAGAGGTGAAAAAATTATTTGTGAGCATTATCATTGGGCAATTCCACGGTAACGGAAGGACACGATTTTTGAACTTCAGGTTCATACTAAAAGAACTGTTTTATTAGTATAAGATGTGAAACAGTACAGATATAATACCTATATAAGTGCCTTTAATTCTCCCCCCAAAAATTGTCATTATAGTTAAGTAGTTTAAGAATGTGCATATTAATTATCTCGGTAACGGAAGGACATAAAAATGGACATGGTTTTTCCAGTTAATTAGTGTTTATCCAAACTTTGTGAAGTTGATGAAGCTTTCCACTTGACTGAAACACATTTTGTTCCCCATAGTTTAATACATACTAATAAAACATTTCTTTTAGTATGAACCTGAAGTTCAAAAATCTTGTCTGAGTGTCCTTCCGTTACCGTGGAATTGCCCCATTGTATTATGCAAGTGTGGAAGAACCTCAGATAAAAAAAATGTTTCACAAAAAGCATGGCTCTTTAAATGCCTTAATATTCTAAACATAGCATGTAACATCATGAAAATCAGGACAGATTCTTATGCCACATGTTTGTGTAGTCCCATATACATCTTTCTGTGTACAATGCTTGTAACTTTACCGAGACTGGGCCAATTTTTTTTATCATTTTGATGATTCCAGAACCTTGCAAGAACACACCAATACTCATATGCTAGATGATCAACCTTTTATGATCAATTTCACAACGTTTCTTTCACGATGCAATCACATGACCGGAACCTAACTTTATCTTTAAATACTGACTGTAAACTTTGATATTTCTCAGGGTTGTGACAAGCAAGCGTTGGTGTGGGATATGAGAACCGGCCAGTGTGTGCAATCCTTTGAAGGTCATGACTCGGACATCAATGCTGTCAGGTTTTTCCCCAGTGGAGATGGCTTTGCAACGGCCTCTGATGATGCATCGGTGAGCTTCTTGAATAATAATAATAATTCTACGTTTTTGTATAGCGCATAACGCATTTGGCATCATTACATGTCTCTAAGCCCTTTGCAGAACAGGATAGGAGTGGACATAGTGCACTGGTTCATAATTGTGAGATTTTACAAAGTGCTAAATAAATATGTTTTCAAATGATTACTGAACTTTTTGAATGTTTCTATATTTCTAAGGTATTCCAGCAAGTACTTCTATTAAACGGTGAAAATGGCCTTTCCCCTGAATATCATGTCAATTTCTTCTCTTCTGCACTCAAGGTTGATGTGCTTGAGTTATTATTGAAGATGTATGATATTGAATGATAAACACCCTTCCTGCTTGTACATTGATAATAACATGAATTTTCATGATCTTTCTCTTTCATAAAATATTGTGAAATATAATCTTTGTTTTATAGTTTGTACTACAGCAGGAGAAATATATTTAAAGGAATAATTATTTTTGTGTTATTTTTGTTCCAATGGATTGATTTTGTTTGATGCAAACAATGCTGGTATGCTATATTTGTTTGCATCCCCCGCATTGGTAAACAATAGCTTCCCCAGTATATGTCACAGTGATGTAAAACTAAATGACTGAATTATGTTTTGCATTGCCAGTGTCGTATGTACGACCTTAGGGCTGATAGAGAGATCAGCTGCTACAGCAAGGAGAGCATCATCTTTGGAGCCACATCACTCGACTTCTCTCTAAGCGGTGAGAATATCTTTCTTTCCCCGTCTATTTACAATTTATTTTATTTCTGAGGCACAAAATATAGTTGTACATATGCATGAATGAAATGAATGAACTATCAACTAAAGGTAGGCAGATATGCTACAAGTGCCTTAGGAATAAGCCATAGAAAAGTAGTTTTTGTTGTTGAAGGTCGATGAACAATGAAGGATCTTTTGGTTCTCAACATTAGAATTTTTTTTGATTTCTCTCTTTTGAAAAGTTTTTTCAAAAGCTAAAAGCAGCCATGATGCTTGTTGTGATCTTCAAGCACAATAGAGATGTCATTGATTGTCAGCTGACAAAAAAATATGCTTAAAATGTACATATAAATAATGCAATGACATGTGATGAATCTTGCATGATATTACTTGATACAAGGTGCTTGGAGAGAATATGATATGCTGTAAAGGTTGTCTGTAAAGCATGCTTTTGCAGCTTTCTTTTTCTAAGTACTTCTAGTTCTTTGATATTTAGTGAGTATACATAGAGATGCTAAACATTGGTCAAGTTTTTATTTTGGAAGTTTGTACATCTTCCTTTACAGGGCGTCTGCTCTTCGTCGGATACAACGACTACTCGGTCAACATTTGGGACACTCTCAAGGGTCATCGCTTGACCATGCTCTACGGCCATGAGAACAGGGTGAGCTGCCTGAGGGTCTCTCCAGACGGGACTGCCATGTGTACTGGTAGCTGGGACTACACCCTCAGGATCTGGGCTTAACATGCTGACCAGTCATTGGACGAACATGTGACCATACTGACCTGCAGGACTAGCGGGCACTTTGCTTTACTTATTTTCTTCTGAGATGTGGACCTAGATATGTAACTAGAACTCAAGCCCTGCGGTCTAAGTATAGGCTAGACCAAGCCATACTTAGACCTAAGGTTTGGCCAATTTATATTTGGACTGAATTTTTGACCGAAGGTTTGGACCTCACCTTTAGACTTTTAAACCTTTGACCTGTGGGCAAGATTCTTTTCTTCTCATACAGCAACCTGTGGCACTCTGACCATCATACAAGAGACTGTGTGTGTAACATGTAATGCACATGAGTAATGTGGCTCTATTGTCATATGTACATGTATATCCACAGTGATCACAAATGAAAGTTGTTAAGATAAGTTCACATAAAATCAGTACATCCTTCAATATTTATCCAAACCAAACTCCCTACTCTCATGATTTTAAGTGTCCAGTAACTTCTTTTGAAATTCAATCATCTTTATTTATGAGATCAAGATAACTGTACACCCTTGGGTCATTGTTCTCCCCCGGTGTATATTTTCATTAAATACAAAATTGAAATCATTGAAATAATATGATGTGATGTTGAAATGTTGAAAGTTACACCAAGAAATGAAGGTCTGGAAAATAAGAAATCTAGTTGATGTTGATACAGATATTAAGTGTGTACAATGTTGGGAACTGAAAATTCCAAGATCAGTGCAAAAATTGATTTTACTTGTTTTTCCTGGCATCAAAATAGTCTTTACAATTAACACAGGCCAGTGTCATATTAGAGGTCCAAATTTGTTGTTGGCGAGGACTTGTAGTATATTGAGGAGTTATCTAATTTGCTTTGAAATATCTTCAAAACTTCTTTTATGTAAAGTAAGGACTTATATGAAAGGGAATATTTATTCACAACTTTGACATGCTATTAGGAGTGGCTGTGATATTTTAGTGTGATAGGAATGTATTTATTGTGGATTTCATTTGATATTTGTAGTGAGTTTTGGGTCAAATTTCTGGATGTGGGTTTTATTTATTTCTTTGGATTGAGAGAGTAACAACCAAGAAGATAGACTCAGGGCGCAGAATTTTTTGGCAGAAGAGAAAGAAAGAAAAGATGAATTTTTGCCCTCATCTATTTTTATAATCATTTAACAATACAAAATCATAGTTGTAGGTTTTGTGAGGATATGATACAATTGTTGAAAAATCAAAATTTATAGGTGAAGGTGAGAATGTAGATCTCTAATACATGTAAAAGGAGGGAACTATACATGTAGTTCTACATGTAGATAGGTATGTATAGATCTATTGAAATTATAAATAATTTATGCTATCCGTATCGAATTTGTGATAATTTCATTTTATTGACTTAATCATCTTTTTCTTGTTTGGATGTTTCTAGGAATGAAAGCCACTTAAAAATTTATTTGAAATTATTACAATAGTAGGTGTTCTATTTTTCAGATGTCTGATGTCTGATTCTTTACCGTTGTATTACAGAGATAATTAGTTTATTTAATTGTTACAGCACAGTACCTGAATATTATGATTTCTGTTGTAATTACACATCAAATTTTCTTCTTCTTTCAGTAGTATAAAGATTAAGGCCATCCATTCAAACAAAGGAAAAACAATTTTTTTTCTTCTTCAAAATCAGATAAAAAGGTTAATTTGGTTTTTTGCAAAGTATTTTAGAGCAGATGGCATTAGTCAAAGACAGCACCTCATTTTCTAGAATTCTAAAATTTTTCACCTTGCTTTAATACTCGACACTTTTTACCTTATCTTTTTCTTTTAAATTTTGAATACCTTTAGGTTTATGATGCTCATTGGCTATCCTATAGAAGACATTCCAGTACATGCCTCTTGTATTTATCCTTGTTGAATTGGAGTGACTAGAAATATTTATTTTAGTTATTATTTTTCTGCGCCAAATATAATTATTCATTTTTCAATGATTGACTAGAAGAAAAGAGGGAGAGGAGTAGTCTACTGGTGTAACTGGAAATCTTTGGGTAGAAATTGCACTGCAGTGGATCAATTTTGTCTCTTTTTTCCCTTTGAATAGTAGTTCAATGTTTAATATTGTACAATGTAAGCAGGCATGCAGTAACTTTTATTTAATCTGTTGTACAGGTAACTGAAATGCGGTGTGAGAATAAAAATGTCCCTGTTCCTTTAAATACATTATCATTTATTTATATAGAATTGTCAGCTAAGTAATGTATATCATGTTGATCTTGCAATTGATCATAATCTATTTATTTTTTGTCAAAACACCATGATTTTTTAAATTTGTATATAGAAATTATAGTAGATATACATGTAGTATATTAAGTTCTAGTAGATAAAAGTGACTATAAGAAGCATGTAATTGTGCTTATTAGATAGGGTGTACATGAATAATTCATTTAATACATGTGGTACTTTGATTTGTTTCTTTGTTTTGTTGTTTAAAAGTAGATATAATTTGTATTGTCTATGTTTACTTGCAATGTTTCCCTCATGACCATCTCACAGTGCATTTAACATACATGTATGTACATGAGCATGTATAGGCATGTACATTGGATATGTGCACTTGATATGCCAATATGCTACTTTTGCCAATTAATCCAACTTATGAGTCAGTGTGCAATTAGAGAGAAATTATACCTTAAAATCTTTTTCATCAGTTTGATAGTGCAATAATCAAATTATGTAAATTCACATGTAAGAGATAAACAGTATCAAGAGAAGTACATGTATAATTAAACATATTTTCACAATATTTATTATTCAAAAGAAAGATTTTTTATTCAAACCTAGATTGTACTTGTAAGATTGACCCAAATTCTGCAACATTTTAAAGATAACTCATCATTGATGTTTATGATTTTGCTTGAATTGATAACTCTTAAAAAATTGGTACTAACTTGTCTTTATTCCTATATTTCATTTTACTATAGAAATTACTATAGAAATCCGCCATTTAATGAACATACATGTAGTTCATTCTTTATGTGGTGCTTATCCAACTTTTTTGTGTGCTGTTTCATGTGTGCTACATTGTAGGTACAGCATCATAGCTATATCCTTCATTTTGTGCAATAGAATATATATCAGATTTGTATTAAAACCTTGCCGTTAGATTTATATTAAAAAGAAGGCTTGCTCACTTATGACGTAGTAGAACATTAAGTACATCACATTTTTGCACAATACAGTGCGTCCCAGAAAAAACGAAACCAAGATTTATCAATGTTAACTGAATTAACAAAAGACTTAACTCGGTTTCGTTGACAATCAGCCGTAGACGAAAGACTTCATGCATGGCTGATTGTCAATGGGACGGAGTTAAGCCTTTTGTTAATTCTGCTTATTGCTACAGCAGGCAGCCAGTGAAAACAAATTTGTTTGATAAAATTATGGAAATGCAAGTGCTACTTTAAACAAACAGAACTTTGTCATTCCTAGCTCATTTTTCCTGATTAAGGTGTCATATGAAAGGGCAGGAACTCAACTTTCTAGAAATGTGATTTTCTCTTTGAAATTCAGATACCGCCCGCCAAATGACTATTTGGTTTCCTCTCTTCAAATTGATTTGAATCACTCATGCGTGAAATTTGCATCATAGGAGTTGCATCAAATGAAAGAGGAGTATCTAAGCTTTCCAAATATGTGTCATTTATTAACTAAAAATTTGACTAAGTTATGATAAACTATCTATAATTCTTGGTTTCGTTTTTTTCTGGGACGTACTGAATAACACACAGATTAGTCAGTATGCACGTATCTACTTTCTGCATTCCTACCGGTACTTGCCATTGATTTACAGTAGTACACAAAAAATGACCCACTGCGGTTTACTGTGGCATGTGGAGCAAGCCTTTAGGACGTTCCGCAGTAATATTCGTTCGCACATCCACTGCATGTGCAGAGCAAGCTTATATTGTATTTACTTTGCACAACACCAGGAACTCCAGGCATTGTGCATGGTGAATTATACATAACCAGATGGCCCCAAAACAATACTGCGGAACATCCTTATTAAAAGAGAGAGAATCACTGCACTAAGAATTGAAACATGTTCTCTCATGAAAGAATGTTGATTTCATGTTCTTAAACATGATATCCACCTTTATTAGCACTCTTTTTGTATCTTGACTAAGGTTTTCCATTCGATGATTTAGCCTTGATGTATGTGATTTATGCATAGAATTGAATCTTTGATAAAAGTACTAGAATTCTCTCCAGTGTCTGAGATTTTGTCAATACAAGTATGCTTATTTGTAAGCGCAGCTCGATGATGGTATTTCTTTGCGAGTACTGGTTGAGTTAACAACCAGTATTTTAAAAAATATTGGCATTGCTATACTGTGACTGATCACATAAGTGATTTACATCCACGATTTATTTACAAATGAAATAGATTGACGACCTGATGACAGTTGTGTTTTTTTTTTTTTCTTTCCGTTTTTGATGATATTCACTTACAAGTTTTACTTCTAACTGTTGAGGTGAAGCAAGTAAAATTTTATGAATGAATAGATGCAAGTAAAAGACATTTAATTCTAATGCAAAAATTACAGATTAGAGAAAAGGTGTGCTGCATTTCACAAGGGAATGACTTGGTACATATCATGTACATCAAAATGTATAATATCCCTTTTTTTCGCAGTTTTGTTCTCTCTCCTTTCCGGGTTGATAATCTTAAACATCAATGTGCACTCTCTCCCTCTCAATTGTTATTTTCAGATACGTTTGTGGAGTAGTGGTCATAATATGATTTGACGTACAGTGCTTGTGTACATGTATGTAGTTTATTCTCAGGTTGAGGTTTATCTATTTGTGTAGTGCATCGGACTGCAATGTTGTACTAGAGTATTTTACTGCAATTTATATATCTGTGAAAGATTTATATAAATAAACCTTGCTTTATGATATGAACCTGTAAGTACTATTTTAGGTCAAGACTAAAAAAATGACAGTTCCTTTGGTATCGACTCTATCGAGTGAATTTTAGACTAAGAAAAATATATGAGTGTTATATTTATCTGTACTTCGTATGGTGATTATAATTTTCTGATTTGTAAAGAATTGTGTAGACCTTGCTAATATTTTATGTTATGGGTGTATGTGTATAGTTTACTTTGCTTCAGAGATAAAAATTAAAGACAACTCTGTACAAAAGAAAACGTGTGTGCATATTTTTATCTTTTCATGTGTTAGTCCTTCATTAGGAGGGTCAGAAAAGACTGAAGGAATTGTCCAGTCAATGACTAATGAATGTTCATTTGATAAGCTACATGTATGTGTACTTCTAAGGGTTTTTGTTTGTTGAAAGGGCAAATTAAATGTATTAAGTTTAATGTGTTAAGTCCATTGTGCAGTGCTTAGTGTGGGACGGAAATGTAATAAGTGATCGAACATTGCCGATATGCATGCATATTTTTTTCACGCGGAAATAATACTGATTTTGGGGGATAAGAATACTGAAAGTACAACTTGGCAGCTCTGTACAAGGCATTTGAGAAGTGTTATGACAATATTTACAATCACAAAGCAGACCATATCATTGTTCCATTTAAAAAAACAAATAAAACGATTAAAATAAATAAACTACCAAACAACCCGTCCACCCAGCCCTCAACCACCCACCTAATAGCCACATAAATAAATAAAATAAGTATGGTAGACTAAACTAGATAAAATGAATGAAGGAAATAAAAGGAATCACTTGTGAAGATAGGATAAACAAGAAAACATGGATGCAGCTGGATTAAAGAAAGTCTTAGTACCGATCAAGGTGATTTATTAGAGCCCACAGCAAATCATAATTTCAGTTAATCTTATTTTACAAATCGTTTTGACAGTGTCCTCAGTAGATTAATGAATACAAATATACACAAGCCTGCTTAAACATGGATTTTTTTCAATACAAAATAGATGATGGTGTCTTGAATTTACATTGCAACGCCATGATAGTGTATAATCAATATTGTATTTTCAATAAATTAAATATTCATTTTGATACTCGTTGTGCCTTGCGACATACTGACCCCTCAAGAGATTACATATTGCCTATTGAAACCAGAAGGACATTAAACCGAGTAAGGTAGATGAGTGAAATGTGGCACAAAAGAGACGTGTCTGGAAAGCAAAAGGCGCAATCGTTTATAATATTGGTGAATTAGGCCGTATAATTTTATCTGAATGAGAGTTTCATTGTTATTTAGCAAAATTACGTTGGAGAACTATCATACTTTATCCATGTCATAATAATAGGGTTCTGTCTACACACCATAACATTATGATTTTCCACAATACAGCAGTTTACGGTTATGGGCGCCATTTTAATTTACGAGTAAACAAACCAATTTACCTCTAGAGGTCAGTGGTTTATGCGTAATTAAGATAGCGCCCATGCAAATATGATGTGAGCGCACAACGCATCACTGCCTGCGCTGTTGTAACCGTAAACTGGCGTATTATGCATTTGCTTTCCAGACGCGTCTTTTTGTACGTCATCTTGACGCCCTTCGGGCTCTGAACAGATGATAGTCTACATTTTATGATCTCTTTAGCGAATTTATCAAATACCAGATAAGCAATACCATCCTATACGGTAATTGTCTTTTTTTACAGTTTGTATCTAGGTCCATTCAATGGTTAAATTTTTTTTTTTAAATTGCGACTCCATTACAAAATATTTAACTATATCATTCATATCTTAGTCTTTGAAGGCATAATTACATCTAAAAAGAAGGCTTCCATTGATAGAAATGATACAAAATACATCCAAGTGATTTCATATAAAAGTATCACACTTACAAAATATCACTTCCTAGTGTCTATTTATAGAAAAGTTTCAAAAATGAGAATGCTTTGATCTTCAACCCGTTATAATTTTTTTTAATTTGAGTGCACCTTCATGAACATCAAGCAACGAAAATGCAGCATGAGCGAAAAGGAAATTAACTCTGTAAAAAAGTTACTCCAAGAAAGTGCACAGACATGTTATTACAACAACAAAAAGACAATATATTGCAATAGAAAAAAATGTAAGTAAATTAGATACAAATTTGGCTGAATGGAATGAAAACAAATTTGCATAAGAGATAACAAAAGCGATAAAATGTCAAGAACTGATTATAAAAGTACAAATAATCCCTGTGTGCCTTCAATCTCTGAAGCACTGCAACATTCTCAACATTCTCAAAGAGATAACTTATGTTACCATTCAAATGAAAGCATATCTTGAAATCAAGGCATAAAATATAAAGTACTTTGACAAGTATTTAAAAAAAGTATAAAAATGCATAAAATAGTAAAGTTACAGCCATTAGAAAAACTTAGTGAAGCCAATGAATATGTAATAAGTATTTGAAGAACTGAATGCAAAAAGGTGCATGTAGTTACTTATCTTTTGCAGAATGTACAATTTAAGTGACATGCATTGTATGTATAAGCATTTTTTGTATCCACTTACTGTAACTTGCTATTACGAAACAGTGACATAAGAGAACCTACATAGAATAAATACAAATCTTGGTATTTCGTTGTTTATGCTAATTTTAAAAAAGGTATATGATTGCACATTATAAATTAGGAATGAATTGCATTTTATAAAAACCTTTGTGTCATATCCACTTTACATGGTCTGATATATCATATTATGTCCCCGGAGACCTGGACATTATTAAATCAAATATGTAAGGTTTGGTTTATGATTGGTCGACAGGTTTAGATATATTTTTCAGAGGTAGAATTCGACCAAGAAGCAGGTAATGCCCCACTGCACTACTTATAGCTACTCGCGCCCTCTATATAGCAAACAATGCCTAATTGGTGACCATTGGTCCCCCATGATCTTCTTTTCCTTATGTTAATTGAGAGCTGATTTGATGAGATAACTACCCGTCAGTGACCATGCAGGGAGGTCTAATCCCTCCTGTCCAAACTAGTGCATGTAGGCTTTAATAATGTTCTCAAGCTTCTAAATTTACCTTACACAAAAACAAAAGTAACTCTTGGAGATTGTGCTTTCAGTTGCGTCGCTCCATGGAATAACCTACTAACTAGACATAAGAAAAGCCTCATCAGTTGCTGTCTTCAAAGGTTTGTTGAAGATGCACTAGTTTTTAGGAGCTTTTAAATAGTTTATTTTATTGCGTGTCTGTAAAGTAACACTGCTAGGAGTTTTGTCTTTATCACAGCGCAGTAGAGTATATTTATATAGTATCTGCGCTATATAAATTGATCTACTGGTCTAGAACCGGTGGTATACCATCTTAACTTGTGATTGTCTCTGTCAAATATTTTCAGTGATTTTTACAAGTCTAATTCCTCAAATATCAGCTTCTGAAAGATCAATGAATAAACACAGAATATTTTTTTTTATAAATTCCACATAGAACTTGTGAAAGAGCTAGTTTGACATGATTTTCCATATAAATACATCATTACAGACTTTTTTTTTTACATGAAAGTTAAAGGAGAAAGAGAAAAAAGGGGAAAAAATCCCATAAAGGGTTACACTCTACATTAAAAAAAATCCTCCTTATATCTATGATTGGAAGACCAAATTCTCTAGTAATTTATTAAATGCCTGATGTATCATTTTTTAAAAGGTATTAAAAAAGTACTGGTCTAATTTCACATGGGGTATCAACAATTTAAAAATGAGTTCATAGATGTGTCATATTTCCAATATGATATTAAAAAACTGAAATACGAAACGTATGTTTATTACAGAATGATGCAATCTCTTTATAAAAAAGCAAATCTTTCATTTAATACCAAATTAAAACTATACATAAAGAATAGTTACTGTAAAGGACATTCAAATATAGGTTTATTATAAGAGTCTAGAATTGCACAAACATTGTGTGTTACATGTACATTCATACAAATATTAAATTTCTACATATTTACACTAGACAAAAAACACCCAGACAAACTTCCTTCAGCCACACACATCAACATATTATACATTCATATGTATGTTTGCAATAAGCATAATTCTTATGATGCACTTAGTGAAAAATGAGCAATGTTTTCAAGGTGATTATTATATTGACAGTGAAGTGAAAGCACAAATTTTTAGTCCATAAATACATACATTATTCTCTTTCAAGATCAGTTTCATAGAAATACAACTGTGTATAAATAAACAAGTATAGACCTTTAACATTCAAATTGATATTAAGTAGTAAACATCATCATGGATTTCATGAAAATCACACATAGAAAATCGTTGTCTTGTATTGATTTAAAATTCTGAACTACAAAATATTCTCATCTCTGCTTTCCTCTATAAAAAATATCAAAAGTAGGAGGATTTGCGTTAATTCCTGCAGAGTTGATACAGACAGTGAAACTAAAGCTAAAGTACATGTATGTCTCTGTGTGTTTTCCTTTTTTAGTAAACAATAATTACCCTATAATGCACCTATATTTCACATTAAATATATATTTATAGTTATCTATAAGTAAATATTATTTTAGGCTTAGCTTCACTGCCATGATAAGGCACTGGGCATTCAAGCAATTTTTCTTCCATACCATTTTATCTCACCTGGGTGGAGAGAGAGGCAAATGTAGAGAGATTAATGTATTGCCAATGGATGGTTTTGCTGTGGTGGGGGCTTGAACCCAGTGCCTTGCATTTCATAGCCAAGTAAATTACTAACTAGACCAAAACACCTCTACAGTTTAACAGTTCAGCACTTGAAAAACAAGATTTCTTGCATAAAGATGTTCATGCATGGGTATATAGTCGTTTGTGAAGTAGGCAACTTGGGGATCACTACATAGCACTGAGCCAAACCGTGCCTACGTCCGTGTGCTGCCCTCTATATACCTACGCTTGAGCAACTTTAAGTGGGGACAGCAGCAAGAAATTATGGTGGGGGGAATTATATATAATAAAACATGGTTGAGTTTTTCGATATGATAGACTTCATTCACGACGGTACAATTACAAATTTGAAATGACGATTCTGATTGGTTAATGGTCAGCCTTTTGAACAATATGTTCATGCAACCAGAATCTTGATTGGCCATTGATATCTTGCAATTGATCGCAAACTTTGTACCTCGCAGACTTGGGGCAATTACTTTGAAGGCCTTGATAGGCAGGGATATGATTTCCATACACAAGTCATCATAAGCTATGCCCAGCCATATCAGTGCGCATTTAATGTGATGCATTAATTGCGCATGAATTTGGATTGGCAATGTGATGTCACAATGGTCATCGGTAAAAATTCTGGCTTACAGTCTGCTTTACTTCAATCAAATACTTAGATGTGATCTGAACAAGTCTCAAGCTTTTTTTTTTTTAGCTAAGCTAAATGGTATGAAAGTTAAATACAGACATTATTCAGGCATTGAATTGAATATTGGCCAAGATCAAGTCAACTTGAGCTCATTCTGATGGTATACTCCCACGTTTACATGATGCTACAGACCTTTGATGATGGCTTCCTAGGTTCAGGAGATTTGAGTGAAGATGCGTTGGATAATCGGATCCCCTCGCGTTCCTGTTCAAGCTTTTGAATCTCCCATAAACCTGCCTCCCTGTAGCCAACAGAAAATTAAGATTAAAGATGTTACTATTTAAGGCTATTTTCAACATGCTTAAAGGAAATAGATGAACCACAGAAACTGGAAAGTGTTATTCTGTAACTCCATGTTTGTTCAGAAAGAAACATAAAGAACTAAATTTTATTGTTGGTCTCTGTAAAAGACCATAATTTGATGATTATACATTCCTAATTTGGTGGGTTCACTAAATACATGTAAATGTATGTCCACAGCAGCTACTTTTGCTCCAGCTTCATGCAATTTGATCCACTTTCACTACGATTTACAAGTAAGAGAATTCAAAGATAGTTATACATTTTTCATATACTTGGTTTGATCAATACTTCTATCGATAAAAGATCCACAGCCTTTGAGCATCCCCGGATGCGTCAATGTTTTGGCAGGATGGGTCAAGCGGCTATGAAATGAAAAACTTGCAGAAGTAGGGAGTGCCCTTATAGAAACAACTGGGGGGTGTTTCACAAAGATCCTAACTTGAACTTATCTCTAAGTTGCACTTAACATTTATGGAAAGCCATTAGCATCTATGAAAATATTTTGTAAAAGTTATTTTAAAAGGCATAGAATGTTGATTCAAATCATTCATATTTTCTATTATCAAGGAGCTTTCATGTTCTTGATTTGGAATTTATTCAATGTCAAAAATGCTTGAATTTTCGCTTTTGAAAACATTTTATTTTAAGGCTACATATGGCTCTCCATAATTTTGAAGTCCAACTTAGAGTTAAGTTCAACTTAGGATGTTTGTGAAACACCCCCTTGTACTAGTAAAATACTCACAATCCACCTCTAGTCATCCTAGCTACAGTAGGATAGTTGGATTTGCGTTCGAAGTTTGTTGTATTATCCAAATCCTCCAGCTCATCCTCTGTCACCGAGGTGAATGAATCATCGTCGTCCTCGTCGTACGATGTCGATGGTCTGTTGATGTCGCCTTTCTTCTTCTTCTTCTTGTTGAGGGAGGGGTGGGTCTTGATTGGGACCGCTGGGGGTGGGGGATTCCTGGTGGGCATGCTAGCACCAAACCCGGTCTTGGTGGTCCCATTAGGAAGGGTCTCGTAGATAGGCTCTTCGTTGCTGGACTTTTGAGTCGCTCCTGATATATGAAAGGGTGAATCTCATTGAGGATATTGGTGGAGTCTCCACAATATAGAGCACATACACGACATCAAACAACATCAGTATTGTTCTAATATACATGTTCATGTAAACACAAGCATTTGGTGAAAACCCGTAAAGCGTGTGAGGCTTTTGCTAGATCTGATGACCATGTTTTGTTGATACAACCATTTTTTTTTCACCACCAGTTTAGTACAAGAGTTTAAAAGTAATAAACAATTCTTTTTAATTTTTCATGTACCTGCAGGCATTCACTTGCTTCTTTGTTTTATCTTGGTGACAAACACAACCAACCGTTTAAAACATACCGCTATCATCTTGGAAAGCTTTTGCTTTAACAAACAAATAATCATTGTCACCATTGCACAGTATGACAAAATCTTAGCAAAGTCAGACAATCAGCTGGTAAATCACTTAGCAACAAATTGGCCATTAGGGCCTTTGTCACTATGTCCCATCTCTGCAAAGTAGGGTGGACAGAACGGTGATAAAATTATGATTAAATACAATTTCAACTAACCTTTCCTGTTGAGAGTTGCATACAGATGGCTGTCTCCAAGTCGACTTGGATCCATGTACATGTTGTCCAATCTTTCAAAATAGGAAAATGTAATTAAACATCAATACCATAACATTCTCAAAACCAGAAGCTAGTTTTTCTATACAGGTTCAAGGCAGCTGTTTTACTTTGAAATCTCAACTTTCTGGGGAACATGATAAGCTCATAATTACACAGAATGTTTTGTCCATGTTTTGGTTTGTAGGAGTCTAGGAGATCAACCCATGTTGCGGCTGTTTTGATAAGACAGGATCGCTTGCTCTACAGTTTAATACTTACAGACAGGTGCTCTTATTCACACACGTGACAATTTAAGACAATAGGCCAGTTTCGTAATGTATTCAGAGACCTTTAAATCGCATTACGTAATCGGAAGGTCGGACAAGCAAAGAACTCGCGGTGCGTAGCAGACTACACTTTTCGTGCATACCATACATGACTGTGTTCGCTAGGTGTGATTGTATCGTTTGTTTTCGCCATTTTGAGAGAGAGAGAGAGAGAGAGAGAGAGAGAGAAGAAAAAGGAGGCAGTTTCAAACTTGAATAATAAATATCTTTGAGATGTGATTTTGTTCTTCATACATTTGATCTTTAAAATCGCTGAGTCTTAGGCAAGAATAATAGAAAAGCATTGCTGGTACAGAACTAGCGATTCACATCTTGCAGCTAAACCTGTTCGGCCAAGTCCCCGGTACAGGCAGCGCACGATACCCCCTCAAAAAGAAGAAAAACGAGGTCGATGATACAAGCGATATTGGCTTGAAAGCCAGTGATAAGACAGAAAGCGAAGCACCAAAATATATTAAAGTTAGCTAGCCGATATCGGTAATTTCCATTCAATTTTGCATTTACCTTAGCTTGAATCTGAGTACAAATTAGGACGTAGAAATGAAAGAAGTGATGAACTATTTTCCACTCGTTCGCACACACAGTCACCTCTGCTTGCAGAAGCGTGCGCGCGTACCACGTGTTCATGTTCGTGTTCGTGTAGGCGCGATTCACATTTTCAAAATGAAAACAATTTTACGGATTAAAAAATGTTTGTGAAACGCCTCGATACGGACTATTTCAAGGGGGACGAGAAACGGCTAACGAGATCGAACCAAGCACTGACCGCAGAATCAATATTATTAACAAAAGCAACGAGAAATAATGACAATAAAGGTAATAATATAATATATAAGTTCTTTGTTAATAAAATAATATTTATAAAATAATATCGTCCGATGACAGAGAGCTAGAATAAGAATGATGAATAATGATAAACAAATAATTTTGAACGGAAAAAATGAAGAAAAACAATGAACAAGGAAAAAGAATGATAGAGCAATGGAAAAAGGGAATAATAAAAGTAATAAAAAAAAACTTATGATGGCAAGGAAGAAGAATCAGGATGATGAATAATTTTATTGTTTAGAATAAGATTAGGAATTAAGTTTGATTTTCATAAAATAAAAGTTAATAGTCTAGCATTAGACTACAATTATGCCGGACCTTCGTTATTCAACTTCAAGAAGCAATTATTATTATTTTTTTAAAAAAACATTTAAAAATAAAACTGTTATTACATTTTCTATTAGATCTAGACTAGTCTAGACTTCTACTTTTTATTTGTTTATTATTTATATATTTTTTCTTTTTGTTCAAGTTGGTATGTTCTGTCTTTTTGCGTCAGTTTGACCTGTATAATCTAGTCACAAGTCGCTATCATAAGCTGCCGAGAGCTAACTAGAGGGAGGATTGTACTCGAGCTTCTCCAGGCCACATAATATGGCCATCGGGAAATATCAATCGAAAGTCTTCAAAACTCTTAAAAGCCTTCAGTTTTCGACGATCATAAATGCATGGTCCGCCATATTCTCTATTAGATAATTGAATACGTCATAGGTCCCAAAGTCAGGAATATCGTCAAACTTAAGGGAGGTATGTAACTAGTTCACTTAACGAAAATCCTGCCCGTTGTAATTTCCCGATACAGTCACGTCTACCGAGTGACACGGAGCCCGTAGGTCATGGGCTACGGGCGGGCTAGTCCGCTACTGCGGACGCTAATTTAACGAGTCTTTTCTCGGGTGTATACCGTAGTCGAAACTCCTCTTTTTCTTAGAAAATATTGCAGCTGCCTGAAACTCAGCTTGATGAATGGCAAGTTGGAAGACATTTCCGGCCAAAACAGAAATTCATATATATATACACGCAGTTTTTATAGAAAGATATGAATGCAATTTAACGGCAAGAACCGACAGTCTAATACACAATGCACAGATTCAAAATGGTGATTTGACAAAGCTTGTCGGGCTTGGTTACAGTAACCGCGCATTACGTAACCGCCGAAACTGGCCTATTTACTCTAGAACAACGATGAATAGAATGAATGGTACCTTCAAATGGCACTAAATAAGTTCTATCAAGCTTTTTCATATAAAGATAATTGATGTTCAAGCCTCCACTAAGATTCTTACCGGTACTTGACCGACTCCTTGGACTGTATCCCTTCGTCTTCCTCCAAGCTGCTGCTGAGCTCAGAATCCCCAGAATCCGACTGAAGTCTTGACACAAGATCCTTGGCCCTCTGCCACATGTTCTTAAAGCCAGAATCGCTGCTCTGGTTCTCTTTCTCCTCCTCTTCTTCACTCTCGCTGCCGTCACTCTTCTCTTCCTGGTCATCCTCCTCCTCGCTACTCGAATGATCTGGAGCAACAGATTGCTTGCCCTTGCGTCTAGAAAATTGAAATATAACAACAAATATATAGAGGGGTCAGTGACACAAAGAAGTAACGCCATTTTGAGAAAAAGTGGTTTATGTGTCACTGAGCACTTGGGCCGTCTATGTTTCACTAGCCATTGACTTCAATGGGGTGTTGGGTGGAGGTAAGTCTTTGTGTTTCCTGGAAAGCCCACATTTTTCTGAACATATTGATATCAAATACTCATTTTGGCAAAATATTGGGTTACGTCTTTGTGTCACTGACCCCTCGATATATAATGTATATTATACAGATATAGATGTGACCATACCTTGATCTTCCTGTGCTCTCCATTTTAATTATGTATGCTTCCCTGACAAGGGAAGCCACACTGCCGTTGACAAGAGACAGGTCTGACCCGCTATTATAACCTGCAACCCCTCTGGTAACTGGGAGGAGGGACTGATCCTTCCGCTTGCCTTTCTTCTTTCTTGACCTGAGAGAGAGAGAGAAGGATGAAGTGAATCAGTGACTGAATTAATTAGAGTGAGATGTGAAAGAATGAGAAGAGGTAGACAGCAACAGTGAGATAAAGGATGATGCGAGAAAAGAAGAACGAATAAAGGGAGAAAGAGAGAAGAGCAACAGTGAGATAGACAAAGAGACAAGAAAAGGAGAAAAAATTTAAGGGAGAAAGAGAGAAGAGCAACAGTGAGATAGAGAAAGAGGCGAGAAAAGGAGAGAAAATTAAAGGGAGAAAGAGAGAAGAGCAACAGTGAGATAGAGAAAGAGGCGAGAAAAGGAGAGAAAATTAAAGGGAGAAAGAGAGAAGAGCAACAGTGAGATAGAGAAAGAGGCGAGAAAAGGAGAAAAAATTAAAGGGAGAAAGAGAGAAGAGCAACAGTGAGATAGAGAAAGAGGCGAGAAAAGGAGAAAAAATTAAAGGGAGAAAGAGAGAAGAGCAACAGTGAGATAGAGAAAGAGGCGAGAAAAGGAGAACAAATTAAAGGGAGAAAGAGAGAAGAGCAACAGTGAGATAGAGAAAGAGGCGAGAAACGCAGAAAGAATTAAAAGGGAGAAACAGAGAAGGAACGCAAGATGAGAGATGGACAGTCATTTGTCAAATAGAGGGAAATGATGTAAATTTCAAAAACAGAAATATAATAAAAAAGGCGCGAAGATACAGAGAGAGAGAGAGAGAGAGAGAGAGAGAGAGAGAGAAAGGGGAGGGGGAGATAGAAAATACATATGACATGGAGCAAAAATAATGAGTGGACCCACAACATATTTCCAAGCACACCCACAGACGATGTAAGGTGTCACCAGCTAGGATCTTTTTAAAGCCCCCGGCACTACTTGTAGCTACTTCTACCCTCTATACCCTCTATATAGCATATGATGCCTAAGCGGTCCCCTTGGTCCCTTATGATCCCCTTTTTCTTATGTTAATTGAGAGCTGATTTGATTAGATAACCACCTTTTAATGACCATGCAGGGTGGTCTAATCCCTCCTGGCCAAACTAGTGCAGATAGGCTTTAAGGTGACCCAAGCTCAAGACCGAAAGGGCATGAAAATTCACAATCATTTTCGACACATTCACAAATTCAGAACTGAAAGGAGAGTACAGATTACATCTTTATAGTATCCCACTATCCCAGTATCTTAAACATCATGTCCCATGTTACAAAAGCAAATTACTGCACACTTTTCTTGTCAGAATGACAACATGCTTTCTTTCAAACCCTTGCGTAGTAGAACTCAAACCACTTTAGACCAACCGCAAGAGCAATCAGATTTCTGCATCACAAGCACAAACGACAAGACTTAACACAACTTTTCTTACCACTTGATTTTTGTCTTCCTCTTGAATTTCACCTTGTGTGAATTTCTTAGAAGCATGGTGAATGGATTAATACACATGGTGAATAAATCAGGATTGTACAGTATGTACATCATACAGGTGAGGTAGATATGATAATTATGTCCCACAGTGTCCACATACTGAGTAAATAGGGACTTTTAGATTGAGTGGATGAGAACACGACGAACGCCGACTCATCATGCGTGTCAACGTACTTAACTGCCCATGTTGACTACAATTAGAAATCTTTTAGATTGCACTCGACGATATACATGTACATGCATGCAGGAAGTAACACTATGAATATCACGTACAAAGAAAGAGGACAAAATATACAGTTCCTCATTCTACCCTCAACAAAAGAACATCCCTTCACTGCTATTATGTAAAAATGTGTAGAACAGGTGAATATGCATGTGACACCTGTTCTACACATTTTTACATAATAACAGGGAAGGGATGTTCCTTTGTCTACCTGAGGAAATGTATATTTTATGCGCACGCGGCATACTACCTTGAGCATGTAAAGGCGCTATATAAATATCAATATGTATGTATGTATGTACTAGATTTAGGAAAATCAAGGTTGACGCATTCTCGATCGCCGACTGAGACGACGTAACGCATGCGCAGTGCCTTAAAACGACGTCACACATTGCAGTCAAAGCTGTTGACATGCAAATCTAAAAGTCCCTATTGTAAATTGTCTCGCGCTGCCTTCTCCGACACTTGCTTATGGATCACATCCACAGCAAAAATCTATCTATCTGAGTATCTTCTCCCGGTTTGGAGGTTGATTGCAACATCTCTCCATTTTATTCTATCTTCTGCCATTCTGGTGCATTCTTGCAGTTTTAGTCCACTCCAGTTCTTGACATTCTCTTCCCAGTTGATTCTGGGTCTCTCTCTAGGTCTACTTCCTTCCACTCTTCCTTGCAATACATCCTTTAAGAGGCTTTGGTGCCTTTTAACATGACCAAAGTATTTGATTTTTCTCTCCTTAACTAATCCTACTAGTGCAATTTGTTTACGCCCTGCCATGTGCAATATCTCAGTTGCTCCATGCACAATATTTTTCACAATAACAGATGGGTTATGTGGTCATAGAAAATTTGGTATTATTTTCTTTGAATTGAGGCAAGTCGAAACTACATTTGAGTGGGCCTATCAAGTTAATTCAGTATAAATAGCTTTTACCAAAATAATGCTATCTAACATTTCTGTCTTTTATTCCATTCTATGTCAGTTCCCAGACTAGGACATACAAAGACTTTCAATAACCCAAGTTTCTTGATGACACCGATTTACAAATCAGAAATGTTTTATTCTATATATCAGCCATTTGATGGCAGTTTCTAGTATTTCTTTGCCAATCTTAAATTGAATCAATTACAATTTCTTTTAGTTGACTTGACATGTGGGACTCAAATCTAATTTGGATCAATCTTTTGACATGACATGGCCTGGATTACTGAATTATTAATTTGATAGCCCCGACTTGCCTTGATTTCAAAGGAAAGAATACCAAATTGTCTATGACCACATAAACCATCTGTTTATGGTGAAAACTGATATTGTGCATAGAGCGACTGGATGCAACCATGCTCAGATAGAGTACATATCAACCACACAGAAACACATAATACTTACGGTGACCTCATCCGTGGGGTGACCTTTGACACAGCAGCTGAAGCACCATTAGGGGTCGATGTAACAGGTGGGTATCTATCCCTCACTCCCTTGAATACAGACTATAGAAAATACAAATACAATTGGTTTGTTAGTTTCAAATTGGACGATCTATAGAACCACATGGTATTAACATATTATTTTCATGTAGAAAGATATTTTTTTCCATCAAGGGCTAATTATAAATAAACTGAATCACAGTTTTAGTGGGTACATTAGACAAAATTAAACTGAAATAATGTGACTTTGCATCTTGTACATGTACATGTACATGTAATCTGCACTTGTTGACAAGGGAATTAAAAAAAAAAATGTTAGCAATAAATTTACTTATTGCCAAAAAGTTTGGAGATATATCATGTGTATTACAATAAATTAACATTCTGCATATCAATTGAGCAATTACGCTTATAATCATCAGGGTATTTTTTTAATCAACAATGACATTTACAAATATTTGACAACTTCCAGTGAAATTAATCAAACCTATAGCAAATATGCCATACTTGTCATAAAATGAATCTTGATAAGGCATTACTTTCATCAAGTCTGCAGAGGATTTTAATGCATGTAATTAGGCAGTTCATGGCTACAGTCTGAGCATGAGCAGATAAAGGTCATTGCAGAACAAATTGTGAAATACGCGGAGACAAAATACTGGATACGTCCTCATGAAAGTTATGTAATCATTATTTATTCATGCACTCCATGATACACAGGTGGAAGTATTCTTTGAAAATGGGAAACAAAGGCTATTTATGTAACACCTCCATCACTATAGGAGTGATTATTTCAAAATGTAAAAAGTGGGACCTCTTCTTTTTTTGAAGATCTGTGGATATTCAGGGTCATTGCAGTCATGTACTAACCGTGAACTAGTCTATTGTCAATGAGCTATCGCTGGTTAATATCCCACACAACAAGAAAGTATTAGTAATCTACAGTACATGTATGTAGTTTCCCCCAAATAGCATCAGAAAAATGTAAAATCAGTAAGGGAAACTGAAAATATATGCAAAGTTGATATGAAACATACATGTATCATTTGAAAATTAAAAGTGATATGTACCTTGAAAATAAAAAGAGTGTGTTATAATCTTTTCATGAAAAGTAGGATTATACATATTGCACAAAACAATGTTTGTGTGAATTGCTGTGAGCTCCCATGCAAATTAGTAAAGATCTATAGAAGTCAAAAAAGATAAAAGATCATTAGTTGTGTCTAGAAGGCACCAGTATGTGAAAAACTCCACGCCAATAGTAGCTGAGAAAATCCAAGAGAATTGTTATGGTTACCGCCTTACCGGTAGTTAATAAATTGGCCAATATACAAGAGTTTAAAAGACTCCAAAGAGAGGGTTAGTTGTTGAAATGTGGAGATGACATCACACAAATGAGGGAATTATGGGTAACCTGTGGGGATGAGTACGCGCCACCATCGAGAATGGTTTGTGATGTTTGATTGATGGAAATCCCTTGCTGTATGGTGGCAAGAAATCAAAAAGCAAATGCAAATTGTCAAATTAATATTAATAAATGATCAAGTGATGGATTCACACTGCACAGTTTAATGAAACCCTGCTCACGTTTCTGCTGATCCATATTGAGAACAAATTGGGGCTTGCAAGCAAGCAAAAGTTTTAACCAAAGCTTGTGAAGTATGCAGATAAATGGAAAAATCAAACAGAATGCCTGGAATGATTAACAATCCTTTAGGGCACATCCTTATAAAATGTAAATCTTACAAACTTGTAACCATGTAAATTTGATCTTCGTCCTTTTCATTTTCACTTTCCTTTGCTCAGGTTATAAGTTTGTATTCAACAAATAATTATTTTTTAAAAATTGTTTAAAAAATAAAATGTTTCAGAGCACATTTTGTGAAGCAATAATGAAATATACAGTGATATGATGCTGATAGAATAATTTTTTTGGGATAAATGAAAAATTATTAAGATATGAAAACTAACACCTTGGTTAATTGAATTTTATAAACCCAATATCAATATGAACCACATTAAATCCACAACACCTTAAAAAACTAGCTCTGATGTAAAACTAACATGAAAGGATGTCTCCTAGCTCAAATCTATATTATATAAATGTAAATAAGTTGACATATGAATTAAAGTGAATTTTAAATTTGAATTGAAATGTAATTAAATAATCTAAATCACTGTCATGTTAAACTGTTCAAAATGCTGTAAACAAAACTATAATAAAAAGGATCACAATTATGCATCATACTTAGTTCTAAGCACTGAATTAATGTGATGAAAAATGACATATTTAACAAACATCAACTGCCCATGTCGAATTCCTGAGAACATGGATAAAGATTGACCATATACAAGTCGATTCTTCTAAAGATCCTTCAAAACAATCATACATATTATAACTTACCGGGTCATAGCCTACAACGATCGGCACTCGTTTCTGCCGCGTCTCGTACGAGCTGAGCCGATTGCTCTTCTGACTCTCTAAAGCCTTTGTGAGCTTCTTGATAATCTTTTCAGTGGAAGACTTGGTCCTGCTGCGAATGGGTGCGTCTTTAGCCAGGGCTTCCCTGTAGTACATGGTTGCGATATCTGGGTGGTTCCTGGAGACGTTCAGATCGCCCAGTGCGTCAGATATCTTCCACAGATGGTCGGTGTCACCTGGTAAATTAAAGCAAAATGATTAAAAAAATTAAGGGACAGTATTGAAAGGGTGATTTTCTGGAAATGTTTAGGTTTTCCAATGGTGGTATACATAAAAAAATAAATTAAAACAACTTGCAAAATGACGATAATATGACTATTCTGATAGTTAGTGAACACACTTTCTCCACTAACTTTTGGTGAAATGTTGTTAGAACATCCAGAATTTACACAACAAAATTACTCTGAGTGCCTAGATGAGTGCCAAGATAAGCTCATAAGTGCCTACTTCCTTAAAATATACATATAAATAGCAGATGAAAATTTGAGTTATGCATAAATGGTTGAAACAGACCTTACAGTATCGGTACACTTTGTGCGTTAAAAAGGGAATATTTTCTGAAGTCCTATCTTACTGGCCTATCTCATCTTATGAGACCTTCTTACAGTACATATTTTCTGGTCATCTTATTCATGTTGTTGACTTCACTGTTGACTTATTTTACATCATACCACTTTCCTTGTTAAATGGTTCTTAGCCTGCTGATGACTGAATTTCTTCATTTCCATAAGTTAATTACAGGAGCACACTACACAAGAGTCATATCTCGCACCCCTCGACAATGTGTCTGACAGAGCTGGTTGTAGCAACCACTCCGAAGATCAAGATTTAATTTAGGAACTTTGAATTTATCTTGACCTAAGGAGACACGAACGAACAAATTACAGGAGCCATCCTGTTCCAGTAGGCAATGAGTTAAAAGAGTTTATGTGACACCATTTACATATGTACCTGCATCAGTGAGTGTTTGATGTGCTACATGGTAGCTGCGCTCAGCACTAGAGTAATCACACAGCTGTCTGTAGGCTTCACCCATATGATAGAAGCACCAACCTCTCTCGGCATAGTTCTCCAACAAACCTGATAATAGACAGGAAGGAACAAGAAATAAAACACTTCATCCTTTCCTAGCTTTGATTTGAAAAAGCAAATCATGTACCTGTAAACATTTGTAATTGATCAACATTTCCAAGTTCAATGTCTTAAAGACTTCTCTGCATAGTTCTCCAACGAACCTGATAATAGACAGGAAGGAACAAGAAATGAAACACATTGTCCTTTCCTAACTTCTGATTTGAAAAAGCAAATCAAAGTGGGGCTACTAGCCAGAAACATACCTCCTTTTATGTCAATTATTACTAACAACATATTCATATATAAACACCTGTACATGATAGGGTGAAAAAACTCATTTTACTCTGGGAAATAAAATTCATATCTAAAGATGTACCTGTAAACATTAGTAATTGATTGACAATGCCCTGTACAATGTCTTAAATACATCTTTAATTCTTATTCCAATTTAATAATCAAATAGGGTGACTTATAAATCACACATGTGTAGGTTAGGTGCATTTAACAGGCTCACAGAATTTTCTCACCACTGAATACATAAAAAACAACCAACAAAATTGGTTATGTCATTACCATGCAAGGATGCTGCTTCTTGGTAGATCTCTACAGCACTGATCAGATCATAGGAGTGAAGGTACATCCTAGCCAGACTCTGAGCCACCGCTGCCTGCAGACGAACGTCCTCCCGGCTGGGGTGGGTGCCTGAGGTACCCCTGCATCTCTTCCAGGCCTCCTCCAGCCATCTCAGGGCCTCGTCTGTGTTTCCGAGCTTCTTGCAGAGCACGGCCATGTCGTGGAAGAGTTTGGCCTCCTTGGTGATCGTGTTACCTTTAAATCAGAGCAATAAAAACTTGACATTTTTCACTTTGAAAATATTTTGCCTTACATTAAAAGCCAACCTGAGTGGTATTCTGAAAAGTGATTTACTATATTTTACTGAGTTGCAAATTTTCAATTAGTCTTTGCACAGATGTCTTCTATATTATAATTTTTATACATGTAGTCATGTATGTATGTGAACATTTAACAATGACAAATTTTAAGTGGGATTCCTTATGAAAATCGAACAAACAAAATATTAATAATCCTCCTCAGAATAACACCCGCTACAAATTTGTTGGTCTTACATTGTATGTACTGGTATCATTAAATTTTGTAAAATTAAAATGCTCATTTTGAAGAACTTTTATCATTTTAAGCAGAATTTTATGTTGATATTGCTCAATACCCTAAAGGAAATAGAAAGGTAAAAACTCACGTTTTGCAAAGTTTCTCAACTATTTAAATTTGCATTGAATTAAAAAAAAAAAAAACCTTTCTAAGTAATGCAGTTATGAAGGTTCATAGAGAGCCATCACTTAAATTAAAAAATTAATTCACTATAAAGAGACTTGTTAAACTTACCTTTAGAAGTGTTCTGCTTGAGTACCTCTGCACTTGCTTTCTCACAGATAGCTACAACTCTGTGAAAGTTTTCAGTATCAACAAGAGAATTGAGCATCCGAGCTTCCTTCACTAGCATCCTGGCCTTCATAAGTCCATTCCCAACTTGAGCGTAAAACTCTGCTGCCTTGCTGTAATTCTTTCTGGCTTTGTCCAAGTTACCTTGCTTGGCTTCCAGCTCAGCCATTTGATTGTACGCATCCGCCTTACCCTTGTCGTTCTTCCATTTGTCGAACTCAACGACAGCCCACTTAAAGCATTTTATTGCCCTCCCAGAGTCTCCCTTGGCATCGTACGCCAATCCTAGATTGTAGTAGATATCAGCTAGGGCATTTGTGTCCATGCCATTTGTCCTTTCAAGATCATTCTCAAGCTGTTGGTGGAGGATCTCCACAGCTCTCTCAGCTTGCCCAAGGATCACCAGAACAGCACCAAGATTACACGCACAAGACTGGATCAGGAACTTGTCGTTCACCTCGGTGGCCATAGCCAGTGCCTCCTCATACTTTAAAACTGCTTTTTTATACTTGTGATCACCAACATCTGCATTGGCACTCTTGAGCAAGCCATCAACAAGGCGTACGCTAGAATTATCTGATCTATCACGGGACGCAATGTCACTGCGGCCATCAGGTGGAGAACTTATTTCCAAAGACTCTTCTACATGTTCAATTTCATTTACAGTGTCCACTCTAACAGGGATATCAGCTCCATCGACATTATCCTCTTTTTCAGCCATCTCCTCCTTTTCCTCCAATTCCAACTCTTCCTGTGTAGAATTTTTCCTTGAACCTTTATGCTCGCTTGGTGCCTGATCAGAAACCAGTGTCTGTCCATCTTCCTCCAACGTCACTGTGTTGCTCCTTGCATCCTCGTCACTCCTTCCATCTTCTGACTTTCCACTACCGGTGTACCAATTATTGTACATGTACTCACTATTGACATCAATGTCTTCTACGAGGGATGTAACAATCTGTACAGATGCATCTACATCGCCATCGCTCTCAGGAAGTTTCAAAGTCTTCTCCTCTTCTTTATTCTCATCAGCATCTTCTTCTTCTTCCTTCAATAAGCCAGGATCGTCCTCACTTGCTTTGCTTGATGTATCATTTGGGGTTTCATCTAAATCGTTGATGTCAAAAACAAGTTTTTCTCCACTCTGAAAGTCTCCACCTTGGCCATTTTCATCATCAGTAAAAGTCTCCATCTTGAATGACTGGTTTTAGGAACTTCCTCACCATCATGTTCTCTGCATAATAAAAAAATATAAACAAATAAAACTAATCAGCTAAACTGAACTTATAGATACAAATTTAGGCTCAAGATGAAGCCAACAACTAACACAACTAGCATTTCCTTCTTCTTTTTAAAAATCCCTTTGAAGTTACTGCAAAAGCCAACTCAAAGAACACATGGAGGAAAAACAAAATCACAGAGGGGCAACAGAAATGACAGTGGTTTTGGAACTGAATAGGACAAAATTTGCCCACTCCATGCAACATACATGTTGATCACATAAATTGCATGTAAATCTAGTGCATTTTTGACAGCACTGTTTATTTAGATCCAACATTATGCAGACCTAGAGAAATGGAAGTCAAATCTCTAGATCGAGTCTCAAGTAAACTTGATAAAGAAGGAATCTACAAGCATGACAACGGCAAGTTCAAAACTTTTCTCTCCAATTAAATTATTGAGAAATTTGTTTCAAAATTTGGAAAACGAGGTACGAGTTGAATATCTTATATTAAAAAAAGCAAAAAAAAGACACTTTTAGTTAAAATTGTATAGATCTAGGCCTACATGTAAATACATGTTCATGTGTAATTGTTTAGAAAGTGATTTTTCAAAAAGATTTAGTGACTGGGATATTACGATCCTGATAAATTGTAAGCAATGGCCAATTTACTCAACAAAATAGAAATTTTCAGAAACTAATTCTTGGATGACTTTGATTAAATAAGGCCATGCAACCATGATGCAACGTAGGGGGGGGGGATGAAACAGACCCATGTCGAATATCAAAAACAGACGCAAGACAAAACTTCCAGAATTTGTCTTTGTATGCACATAGATTTGCGTACACACCAACTGTAAAAAATGTTTCTATTTTGACGATATACATCAGTAGGGGCACTGGTCTGAGAATAAGGATTGTCTTCGTAAACGCGGACAGATGCGTCCGGAAAAAAATAACGATTCCAATTTCCGATCCGCGCGTTGATGATGCGGAAGCGAATTCCGTTAAGAGCGATATATCCTCGGGAGTCGGGAAAACGGACGACCGTTAATACATAGACAGTGAACTGGGGGCATTTTATTATGCGGATTCCATTTTTCCCATTGCCGGCGCGCGGATCGGGAACCTGAAAGTGAAACCCGATTTACCCGAAGAGCACCAAAGAAAAAAACAACTTATTTTGTCCGTGTTTCCTTGTTTATGCAGACGATCCTCATTCTCACACACAATTGTCAACATATCAGCAACGTTTTAGTGGTAACAACAGAAATCATAGATATATTATCGTTACGTGTAATTCCGGCTGTCCGCGCACTGCTCGACGCCCATTCACCGGCGCTGCCAGACCCCGCCACGGTTGGGGTCGCGGTCGCCTACCTTTTCCTGGCCGCCTCTGGCTCTGCTCAGCTCAGCCAGGGAGCGGCTCACCTAATTCCTAATTAAGAGTTTTAAAATCTACTGATTGACTACCCATACACATAATCTAAATTTCAACAATCTATATGTTTAATTCATCATACAATTGATCACTGCATATCATAATAATCAAGATATATTTACTTACGATGAGCAGGTAGGGGTTAGTCTACACACCATCGGTATGCGTTGCGAAGCTAAACATATGCCGAAATTGAAATTATCGACTAACATTCGTTAACGCAGCGCTCTATGTATGGCCAATATACAAATCATTTAGCGATGTGAATAAAGAATCCACTAGTCGGCTTTCAGATTTATATTATTTCATGATTTTTATTTTGTTACTATTTACTGAAAAAAAAAAAATTCTCACTACTATCATTATAATTATTAAAATTATTATTGTTATTATCGTCTTTGGTTATCATTATCGTTATTGTTATTTGGTTACGATTTGTTCACTCTTCAAACTTTTTTTTGGGGGGTCCAAGTTGTGAGGCAATATTTAGCAGCTAATCATCCAGCCGGTTAATAAGCAGGGGGGGGGGGGGTGGAAGGAAAGAAACACTAATATTTTTAGGGGGTTTTAAGTATTTGTTAAAAAAGGGTTAAATTAACGACGCCCCCCCCCCCCCCCTGGATCCACGCCTGTGCATGTAGACCTACATATACATGTAATACATATACATATTGCGAGAGTTTAGGTACCTAGGATGGCATTTTCTAAGTCATTTCTGCATTATTTTTTGTTTAAACTAGAGAACATAACAACAAATGGGTATGATATTGCAAATAGATGTAGGCCTATACCTGTATAAATAATGATTTTCACTTATGAAGTAATTAAGAAAGTTAATAATGAGGGTTAATGTAAGATGCCAATATTTAACTATAAATTGCATACACTAGTTGCCAGGTTTTGATTGCTTGCTTAGGTTTCTCACTGCAGCGCTGGTCTGCTATATATTTTGCCCTGTGCCATCCAAAGTCAATAGACAATAAGGCACGGCTTACAAAAAAACAACATGATTCAGACAGTCCTACCATGTCCCTCGGATAGGACGTTAAATGGAGGCCCCGTGTACAGGAGAGTCACCACCCTTGCATGTTAAGAACCCATTGCACGGGGAAACCCCGGTGTAATGGTCCACCTGCATACCCCAACCAGGCCGAGTATACGGCATCTGCAAGAATCTTCAGTATTGAAGGAGGCAGATTATCTTGAAGAAGAAGAAGAAGAAGAAGAAGAAGAAGAAGAAGAAGAAGAAGAAGAAGATATATTATGGGGCGGATCCAGCCTGCGGCAAGAGGTGGGGGGGGGGGGATCGAGTGCCCAAATCTTGAGAATTTTTATTTTTTAAACGTTCAAATCCTATTTTTTAAAACCGTTTTGGGGGGCTGGGGGGGGGCATGGCTGGTAGAATCGGCCCATTGATCCTCGCCTGGTACTACCAGGCGCGTACGCAGGGGGGGGGGGGGAGGGTGTTTGGGGGGTTAAACCCCCCCCCCCCCCTTTGGTATTTTTATGTGTGTAAACCCCCCTAAAAAATCCTTAAAACCCCCCCCCCCCCTTTGGATTATTATTATTATTTTTTTTTTTTTTTAATTATTTAAAAAAAAAAAAAAAAATTACCCCCATGGCTGACCTAAGAAAGGTGACCTTACCCCCCCCCCCCAACGGAGCAAAATGTCAAATTTTCAAATTTTCGAGACCAAAAAAAAAAAAAGAAGTTTCCTCTTACCCCCCCCCCCCCCCCCGCTTATTCAGCGGTCGGTTGAGTCGTTGCGATTTTTTTGGGACCAAAAAAAAAAAAAAAAAAATTCCGCTTACCCCCCCCCCCCCCCCCCCCCCCCCCCCCCCCCCACTGAGCGACTTTTCGGCTGGCTGAGTCGTTGCGATTTTTTTTTTAACTCCCCCCCCCCCAAAAAAAAGTGTCCGCTTACCCCCCCCCCCCCCCCCCCCCCCCCCCCCCACTGAGCGACTTTTTGGCCGGCGCAATTTTCAAATTTTCCTGAGTCGTTGCGAAATTTTGGACCCGATTTTAAAACCCCCCCCTTGAAAAAATCCTGCGTACGCCACTGGGTACTACCATGGTAGTACCATGGTATATAGTACCAATGCCAAAATACTGTGTACTATGGTAATTTTTTGAAAGGGCAGAAACTGTATTTATATGCAGTGGTGGATCCAGGGGAGGGAGGCCCGGGGCCTGGGGGCCGGGAAAAAACGTGTAAAAACACATTAATTTTACCTTTTTTTTGGAGATGGGCCCCTCCCCTGGCGCTCAAAGGGGTGGGTGCGAATTATCGGCCGGCGTGATTTTCAAATTCAAATTGATTTCAAATTTGCCCCCCCCCCAAGAAATCCTGGATCCGCGCCTGGACTGTGAGATATATGATGTAATTGATAAGTAAATAAAGAAGGAATGTATCAAGTAAGATAGCACTCCTTTTTGGAACTAAATGGCAGCTATAGTGCACCCCTCAGACCCTGCAAAACTTCCCCACGCACTGGGCCAAAGTGCAATTTCTTTGTGATTTAATTTTACTTGCAAGGCAAGAGATATATTTGTCATCAATTAATTCAACTTGAACTCAGTTGATATTTTATTTTCAAAGTGTCTATCTTTTTCCTGTTTCAGAAATAAACAATGTAGAGTCAGTCAACTATTTTGTTCCCTTTCTTTGTTGTTGGTAATCAGTGATGAATGTCCACTTGTCAAATTGGTAAATCATATTTCCAAGATCACCCGGCGCTTTTCTTTTCGGTAGCTGACTTGAGCAACCCAATCGAACCACATATTTTTTTCCCTTTTTTATCAGTTTTTTATAATGAAAATCATTAAATTATTTAAAAAATTTATATCATATATTTAAATGTCTTATTTTGAAATTGTATGATGACAAAATTAAGACTAAAATAAAATAGATTTAAACATGTTAGAACGAGACTTCCTTTGCCTAAGCTGAAAATTCTGACCAATCAGAAAACGCCTGAGTGGCAACTTCTTGTTGCAGACATTTACACGTGAAGGTATGTGAAAATCTTTTCTTACAAGTAATGATAATTTATATCAATCTAACTTAAGTTACTAACTGTTGATGGGTTTATCCCCTTTAATATTCTTTGAGATGTGATGAACGAAGAACGGCTGATATCAAGAGAGCCAGGCATAAGCAAATTAAAACATTATCCATGAGTGATCTTGCCCATTGAGTTTTGTCGAGTCCCACATATGGAAATCTGCGTCATGATTGTAAAAGGTATTTATGCTAACCAGAATTCAATTTCCAACATCAATTGACTGATATTGATGGGAAGCTTATAACTTAAAAATCATGTTAATATATTTATATAGTCTATATTAATCCTCTGGTGATAAATGTATTGTATTATCTGGTGGATGGGTGTTGTTGCTGTGGAATTTGAACTATTTTTATGAGAGTGGCGATTTCAATTTTCATTTAATTTCTGATCACTGATCCAGCTTAGCCAAAATGAAATTATATTAAAATTGAATCTAGATACTAAAAATAAGCTAAATTAGAGTATGCAAAACCTTGTGCATGGTCATGGATAAGTTTATTTTAGGATATCTTTTAGGGTTTCCATGTATTATAATCAATAGGCGCTGGCCTGAGAATAAGGATCGTCTGCATAAACGCGACTGCTAAAACAATGATCGTACACATTTTCGCAGACGCTTCATGTTTCCAATCCGCACGTTGGCGATGTGAAAAACGGATTCCGCGATGATTTTCTTCATGCATTTTACAGAGACTTTCAGATTATGAGCGATAAATCCTTGAGAAGATGGACCACCCATAAAGTAGATGGTGAACGGGTTATTTTCTTACGCCTACTGGTAATGCCAAATAACAAAAATAATGTTTCTCGTTTTTTTGCTATTTTTTCCTCCAAGATGGCCGCCATGCTAAATATAGCTGGCCAAGCGGGCAAGGACGAGAAACATGTTATGTAGCTTAATAAAGTTGGTGACGAAGCCTGACCAATTGAGTAGGCTGGATTACACCCTAGAAGAGAGAATTGCTGTTTGCTCTCATCTAGGAATTGCCCAATATACACAAGTTGGGTTTGACAAAAAAAAAAAGAGTCCCTGAAAATCCCTTACCCATGCACCCATGCTTCTGAAAATTAAGGTACTACAATTGCTCAGAACTCACCTCGTTTGGATTGCTGTGTACTTGTGTTTAGCTGGTCGACCATAGCGTGAAAAATATTGGTATCATTCAAAAAAAATCTGTAGGAAATCTCTAACTTGTGTAAGCAAAATATCATTCCATGTCATTATTTTACATCTAACTTCTACTTCTACATGGAGATTTTTACTCTTTTAGTGGGTGTTCTCTCTTGTCATTTTTCATTCATTTACATAACAACATTTTGCTCACATTGTCTTTTCTTTTCTTTTTTCTTTTGTTTTAATCAAGAGAACCTTGCACTCAGCAAACATTATTTATTTTGTTTCTACTTTCCAAGTATCTCCAACAATAATGTAGAAGCCAAGCTTATACTGTACATGTAATCTATCAACATCTATATTATCTAATCTATGGAGTTAAATTAAAATCATCATATTTAGCATGCATAGAAACTTGTACCTTCAACTTTATGTGAGACTTGTTAGCTTGTAATTTAATTTTGATTTATTTATTTTGGTTTTCTCTCCAGATGAAGGCTGCACTGTTCATAGCATTTGCCTGCCTCGTGGCACTATCCAGTGCCCAGGATGGGGCTAAACTCTTGGCCTCCAAGACTCTCTTGAACCAATGGTTGGTGGAAGGCAGGGACATGACTGTGCTCTATACCATCTACAATGTTGGAAGCAGGTAAATATCATCAATTTCCTTTTTATTCTATTTATTCCGAGTCAGTTTTCCATTAAATGTTGAAAATCTTAGTTTTGGAAGGAAGGCTCCAGCTGCTGTAATTGTAAGATCGGGAAGTAGAAACATTGGTGGGCATAATACGTTGTTGTTCTGAATTTTGCGAGTGTTTCTGACTTGCAAAAGTTTCATAACACAAAAATTCTGAAATAGTAACTACCACAACACAGACTTTTGCAGTTCGCTAAGTCTGTTGTGAAAAAAGCATTCGTTTACGAATTTGTGACAATAATTACCTTGTTATCTTGTATTTAAAAGACTATTTTTTAAATATATGAAGTCCAACTTTATTTATCACAAGTATAGTTGTCTGTAGTTCCATCAACTGATAGAGATGATGTACCATAGTAATTTAAGGACTATCATGTGGTATTTTTCCCCTCCTATGTAATTAATCAAAGGATATTGTCCCTATGGTACAGCAATAAAATTTGTGTTATATTATGTGAGAGCTACAGTTGATTATCAGAATAGATAAGCTCTCAGGCATTATTGTTAAATAACATATATTCTTCTGATTAGTCCACACGTATACCCTGTATTGTTTCTTCTCATCCAACAAACAGTGCTGCATCCCAGGTTGTCCTCAACGACGAGTCCTTTGCCGAGAGTGATTTCGCCGTGGTCAGCGGTCAGCTGAAGGTCCAGTGGGATCGCATCTCACCGGCCAGCAACGTGACCCACGCAGTCATCCTCCAGCCTCTCAAGAACGGCTTTTACAACGTCACACACGCCACCGTCACCTATGTCCCATCAGAAGGATCAGAAGCTAGGGTATGTGTTGGGGCCTTTAGAATACTGATTAACGTTTCGGGTCCATATCTCTATCCAACTGCAAACTTGAAATTTGCTTATCTGTTGTAATGAGTATATTGTAAAGAGAAAACAAAGTGGGAAATGGCCAGTTCATTTTTCTGTACATTTATTTCTATGATAATGAAATAGCATTGACTTTCATAGTGCTTGCATACTTTTAAAAAGAAACTGATGTCCCTGAAAGTCTATGTGTACATGTATCAATAGTGTATATAATTGCAAAATATGCAGTTTGTTAGGAAAGATAACATTCCTCATAATTGTATTTCGGCATTGTGTAAGGAATAAGGATCCAAGTGGGAGTGCTTGATCCTTGTCTATTTGTTGAAAACACTAGCCTTTTTTAACTCAATATTTTTGCATAGTGGACTGATTTTTTTCTTTCTTTTTTTGAATTTTGTCTGAAGCAAGAAATCCTAGTTTCAATACTTATGTCTGTGCAGTGTCTGTAAGAGCAATACGGAGTAGCACTGACCACCATATTACACTAATCTCTATGTATTTATCTCTCATCAGACTGCTTATACAAGTGCTCCAGGAAAAGCCGGTGTTGTAGCAGTAAAAGATTATGATAGGAGATTCTCCCCACATTATGTAAGTATTCCATTCTGTCTCTACCTTCAGTTATAGAAATCAGGCACTTGAGAACCACATATCGCAGCTAAGAAGACATTTTAAACATGTGCAAAGAGGTTGACACAGTTTTCTTTTTTCAGAATTATTCAACAAATTCCTATAGAAAAACAGTTCAATCACAAGAACTAGTGTTTAAATTTAATGTTGTTGTTTTGTGTTGTTGTCTTTATTTTGTACGATATAATATTTAACAGCTAATAAAAGAAGTAAGAAGAGGCAGTCATGTATTTCCAACTTATAGGCTCGGTTATTTACCGAAATGAGTTATCCAATATTAGAGGCCTAGAATTCTAGTTACAATGTATTAATTTCTTTCTTTCATTTATTTTACAGATGGATTGGGCTGCATTTGCAGTTATGACCATCGCTCCCATCGGCATTCCATTCCTCCTCTGGTTCAGAAGCAAGTCAAAATATGAGGCTCTTTCATTCAAGACCAAGAAACATTGATGTATCTTAAACCTTATCCCAAAGTTAAATCCTTTATTTAATTTGGAAAAAAATCACTACCACAAAATCAGGATGATGCTTTATGGATAGAATTCTTCCCTGTCTAACAAATGATGTATGCAGTATTTCAGAGGGCCCAATTTTGTCTTTTTAAGTTTGTCTTGTTGGACTTGTTACATGTTAAGATCAGATCCTGGTTTTGTGGTAGTGATATTGATATGCTCCTTGAAGAAATTTAAATTGAAGAAAAACAATGGATCAGTCACTGATTGTGAATTTTAAAAAAAATACATGTTTAACCATGGCTTTGTCATGTCATATATACATTCCATAGGTAAATACTGATGTGTTGAGAAATTACAATCATTGATTGATCCCTTTTTTGATAGCTTTATCTTGAGAAATAGTGAAACAGTCCTTTGATTAGATTCAGTTGTGAATGCATGCAATCTTGATCCCATACCAACAAGTAATACATTAGATTGGTACGAAACATTACTGTAAAGATGGTTGTTATTCTTTAGACAATGATAGAGAAATACATGAAAAAACAAACTATATCAACAAGATTGGTACGAAACATTACTGTAAAGATGGTTGTTATTCTTTAGACAATGATAGAGAAATACATGAAAAAACAAACTATATCAACAAGAAATATGAATTATAATATTGGAGTTCATTCTTTCAGGCTCATCTTAAAAAAAATTGATTTAATTTGAATGTTAATCATGCTTTTCTTCAAAGAAATTTTGTTAAAAAGCTGCAAATAGTAAACTGTGGGTTTTATAACATGTTGATTCATCTGGTTTTCTCTTCAATTTCATTTTATTACATAGGTGCAGTATTCTTACTTCTTTTTTTGTGTAGACGTCAGTAGAGGTCACAACTTTAATTTTTTTTTTCTCTTCTTTCTTGTCAGTGGATTGTTTAGGTTATTGTAAGGTTTCATGCCTTTATTCATATTCTGGTATGTGTCTGTGCAAATTCAGAACGATGCAATAAAAGAACTGATCAGCAAATAGGCATATGCTGTCTTGTTCTTGACAAAAAAAAGACATACTGTACATGTATGTTTTCAATTTCTTGTCTATTTTCTATGGGTATTTTGGGGTTTAGGTTTTTATAGACTTTTTGATCAGTTAATATAATATTAGTAAGATGTGTGTCACATTTCATATGTACTCCTCATTTTTTCCCTCTTGCCTTGCATATATTGGTACATTTTCATGTAGGGAATTGAACTCAATTCCCTTTTCAAATTTGATAGCAAATGGTCATAGTATTATTAACACGAGATGCATCGGTTTGTGTTGGCCTATAATAATACAGTTTAGTTTATGTGAGAAAATAGTGTTCTAGACTTGACACTCAAGAGGTAGGAAATTACACGTATAATGGCCCATTTTGTCTTGCAGCCAGCCATAAACAAAGAAAGAATAAGATATTATATAGGTAGGGTAATTAGACCAAGTTGGGATGGGGGAGGGGTCTTTTTGTTCAAAGTCTATGTTTGCTGATGTCAATGTCAATCTCGGTCTTGGAGAAAATATTTTGTGAATTTATAAAAGAAACAAAACACTTTTAAACTTCCTTTAAAACAAAGCTGACAAGTTGTTTTTGTGAAGTCAAGATACACGGATTATGGAAAGAAAAAGAATGATAGAAATTTGTGGAGAGAGAGAGCAGGAGGGAGGAGGGTGGAAGAGAAGAGACGAGACTCGACAGGAACTCCAAATGGTTGGGGAGGAATACAACAACAAAAAAGAGGACGGAAGTAGAGGAGGAGTAGAGAGATATGAGATTGAAGAGATAAAAAGAATTATGTTTGTGAGGGAGGATATGGAAGTGAAAACTGGGATGAAGAAACTAGAGAGGAATATGAGATCGAGCTGAAGGCTGATGGCGATAAAAGAGATAAAAGGAGAACATTTTAAGAGAATAATGCGTAAAGTCGAGAGGAAAACAATACACAGTGAGAAAAAGATAGGGAGGAGTGTCGGACTGAAAGGAAGAGTTCGTAGAACATTTCGATGAAAAGACGGTGTCAGTATGGGGAGATGGGAGGTAACTATTGGAAAGAAAGTGTGAACAAGAAACTAGGGAAGACTGGAGTGTATTAAACAGGGTGGACGATATGTTCGTGTGATAGCTGAAACTTAAAGAGGGAAGGAAAAGAAGTGAGATAGATAAACTGAGACATGATAAGGGAGAGAGGGGGGAAAAGGTTGAGGAAGGCTGAAGAAGAGGAAGAGAGGGGGAGAGGTAGAAAGAGAGATGAGGAGAGAGAAAAAGAGAGAGAGAGGGGAGACGATACAGGGAGGACGAGAGAGGGGAGAGGAGAGAGAGAGAGAGAGAGAGAGAGAGTGAGGAAGAGAAAACAATTGAAAGAATCGGAGGGAGGGGGGCGGGTTATTTCTTTCTCTGCAAGTGACCGGGAATCATCATCCGCTGTCCTCGGAATCTTCTTCTTCGATCTGACTTTGGACCTAACTATAATAATTGAAATACGACATGGAATGCGTCAATCTGTATTTGACATTCGAAAAAAATTATACATGTAGAAACGAACCCCACCCTCCTGTTAGGAGAGGAGCGAGGATATGTTTAAAACGATCGCAAAGGCTTTCGAAAAATCAAGTTAAGGCAATATCAGTAATCTAGTCAGTTACCTTTTGAACGTGCAAACATTACAATGACGTACGTATTACGTCATCCAAACACGATTTCTACCGATACACAATGGGGCATTTTTAATTTGCCCTCGTGCATGATGAGTTGTTTTTCAAAAGTGTTCATGACATTGTTGTATATGAATATAAGAGACACGCAGAAACAAAGGATTTTGTTTCAAGTTGTAAGCTTAAACGATTCTTGGCATTTTTTCCCGTTAATGACGATGAATTATTCGTCGATTTCAGTTTTGATAGATAACAATGGCAACCAAATTCCTCCTTTAGTGACACACTTCACAATGAAACAGAGATTCAGTTACTTAATACTCTCTACAAGCCTAATTCTCACTTTCAATTTTTATCTTCATCCTTACCTGAGTAACGTGACTAATCTTGGCTGTTTATATTACTTCCATCTCGTGATTACTGATTATAAATCTTATAAAATGTTCTTGACTCTTACTTAGATTCTAATTAAATTTGATTAAATCGGAAGTAACGCATCGATACCGATATTTTAATAGGCCTTAACGGGCGATCAAATTCCTTTCGGTTAGTAATTAGTTTTTAACGTAACCACAAAATAAGTTGGTAAAGTAACGATGTTTTTAATTGAATTGTTATACAATTGCCATATCCGTGATTCTACATTTTCCTGGGCTTTTTGTTTCTTTCAAAGATAAATGGATAGGATTTGGGTTTCGTTTCAATTTAATCCACTTTTTCCCACTTTACCCTTTCAAAATATGAAATGTTTGCTTGTTTATTACAATATTCATTAATACGATGAGCCTTTTTTTGTACACAAAATTCGTGTAGTATAATGGTAGGAGTTTCTTTACTGGTTTATCTGACATCCGTAAATAAATGCTTTAGTAACGAAGCCTTTAAAGGAATACTCTAGGGGCTTTTATAGAAAGCCTCTATTAAGCTATCTGTAAGGTTCGAATTCAAAGCCCATCATACTCTGCCTATACAAATAACCAGTGTTTCCTAGAGGACCAGCTTAATCACATAATATAACATAAAAATACGAAACAAGCCATAACCAAACAAAAACCAATGTTATGTATGATTATCACTTTGTCATCACCAGATTGTTTTGTATCCTATATCAGGTCTGTTCATTGTAAATTATAAACATTCGCATTTGTGTAGCGATTAATACCACCTTTCTAGGCACTTTACATTATAATCCTCATTACCCCGGTCTTAATTGCCAATCGTCACATGAAAGTGCCCAAGCACCGCTCCCTGGGGAGTTTTCCGGCCAGGCGCCATTTCACGTGTCGGAGCCTTTTTTAAATTTTGTTTATATACATGTGAGCGAAAAAAAATGCCATGTTGAACGTACATTGGATAAGTAATATATCGAGTTGAATTGAATGATTAGTCGACTGATAGATAAGTCCTAACGAAGTGCTGTTCATTTTGTTTTGCTTGCAATCAAGGTCTGAAATAAAAGTAAACAAGCGCCTCATCCTTCCAAATGTTTGCAAATTCATATTACGTAATGATGATCGAATCCCATGCCTTGCCAATTAACAACTCGTGATTCCAATCATCGTGTTGTCACTTGACCTCCTCTGACGGTCAGGTTTAACCATGGACCCTACGCAAGGTCCATGGTTTAGCTTGGCAGGAGTAAATATTTCTGACCTCAGCTGAATAGATTATCATGATGGGAGTACGAACCCTACAACACATGATGAGAGCATTTATTTTCAATGAAGCTTGATGAAATTATTGTTGCAGAAACGCCACTTCACTTTAATAAAATGTTTCACAATGAAAAAAAAACTTTGTTCACTTTCCCTCAAAATTTCATTAAACTGATAATAGTAGGTTTTCCCCATTGATCTGTCTCGTGAGTATCTCCGGGGTCATCCCACTATCAAAACAGTGCTGTTGCACTTGCGTTAACAAGATCATACAAGATCGGGAAACGTTTAATTTTTAAAAGTCTATTTTTATGAAATGACGAAAAGGGTGAAATAACTGAAACAATATACTAGTATAACATAGTTCGGCAAAAAAACTCTGAAATATATCCAACAAAGAACAATGCCAAAAGCAATATTATCACAACCGAAGATGCTACGATGTTATTTCAATTTATTGTGTATGATTGTTTGATTTGTTAAAAAGCATATATTTATCAATATATTGATTTTACAAAAAAAAACAAATCACAACCGAAGAGGCATATTAATACGAAACCGGTTCCTTAAAAAAAGAAATTGTTGTGGAGTGTTGTTACCCTTGGAGGGGCGGGGTTTGAGTGTGCACTGACTCCACCCCATCGTATGATGGAAACGCCAATACTGCAATTTACAAAATAATAACAGAAAAGAAAACAATGATATGAAAATGCCGCTACATTTATTAAAGCGTAAGTCTTCTTTTTAAATTATTATTTCTTGTAAGGCTAGGCATCGACTATCCTTTTCTGCTATCAGGATTACTTCAAAATCACTTGAGTCTCACCATAATAATAGCATTTTTGGTTTTCTTTGATTTCCAATAGGTTATGTTAACTCGTACTCAGGCGCGCCGGAAGCAGTTTGGGATGGGGGGGGGGGGGGGGCAAACATTCCAGGGGGCCCGTATTCCAGGGACAGTGACGTAATGAGAAAAAAAAGGGGGGGGGCAGACGAAA